CGCCCTTTCCAGGAACAAAGATGCCGGACGCGGTCGTGGAGCGAGTGGTGGTTCACCCTCTGGTGCTGCTCAGCGTAGTGGATCATTTTAACAGGTGAAAGAAAGAAAGAGAGAGAGAGAGAGAAAGAAAGAAAGACGGACAGAAAGAAAGAAAGAGAGAGAGAGAGAAAAAAAAATGGGGGTGTGTGTGTGTGGGGGTGTCGGCGGGGCCTGTGTTTCTCACCCGAACACAGGGGAGAGGCGGCCGCCGCCACAGCACACGCCGCTCACTCGCTGCTGAGTCACGATGGGTCGCTCTCTCTCTCTCTCTCTCTCGTCTCTCTCTTTTTTTTCTCTTCTCTCTTCTTTCTCTTTACTCTTTTCTCCTCTTCTCTCTCTCTCTCTCTCTCGTCTCTCTCTTTTTTTTCTCTTCTCTCTTCTTTCTCTTTACTCTTTTCTCCTCTTCTCTCTCTCGTCTCTCTCTTTTTTTTCTCTTCTCTCTTCTTTCTCTTTACTCTTTTCTCCTCTTCTCTCTCTCTCTCTCTCTCGTCTCTCTCTTTTTTTTCTCTTCTCTCTTCTTTCTCTTTACTCTTTTCTCCTCTTCTCTCTCTCTCTCTCTCCTCTCTCTTCTCTCCTCCGAGATTTTACTGACTTTTCCTCTTCTTTTTTTTTGAACCGTGTCATTCCTCTTTTCTTTTTCGTAACTGCTTTTTTTTTTCTCGAAAAAATACCCCCCCACCACCACCCCCCACACCCCAGGCTCGAACCCCTTTTTTTTCTCCTTATAGATATATATACACACACACACACACACAAACACACTTCTCAGGGTAGATAAGCAGATTTTGTGGGGGGGGGTTTTTTGGAGCTGATTTTACGTGTGTGTTTTTTCTTTTTTTAAAAAAAAACACTCGACTCACTCTCTCTCACTCTCACTCACTCTCTCACTCACTCACTCGGGGCCCCATTGGGAAATTGGAACTGACTGGAGGGACCCTGGTGTTGATGTGGTGGACAGCTTATGTGTGTGTGTATGTGTATAATATATATCCTTATTTGTATAGCTGTCTACAGATTTTATAAACCAAATCCAGAGATGTATATATAGATTATAACGCAAAATACTGCAGTTGCTGGAAATCTGAAATATCTGAATATATATATATATATAATAATCATTATTATTTATTATGCATACGAATATATAATGTGTATAAGAGAACGCGTCACAGTTCCTGATGCTGGCACGGCGGTACTGGAGAAGCTTGTTCGATTCGTGGTCGTTTTTCTCTGATGAGTGTACCCGAGCAAGAACAATAAAAATCTAAAAACGGTTTGTGGCTGAACTCAAGACCGGGTAAATTTGGCCCCTCATCTGGGGACTGTCCCTAGAAATCTGGGATATATCGTCGCCCTCATATACCATCTCTGCTTCGCTCTTCTCGCCCCTGTTAACTGGAATCTACAAAGCGGAGGGTTGATTTTTGTACACTTTTATCAATTGGGGGGGGGGGGGTTCAGTGTCTTTTGATACTGCAAGGTGCTTTACAACATTCATATGACCTGCTTAAGTGAATCCTTGCACCATTTATCGGTAGAGTTCCTGTTCATATTGGTAATCTTCAGTTTTCTCGCATCTCTGCGCAAATTTCAAATGGAACTGCGAGGATCATTTATTTATTAAATAAGGAAGCCTCATAAGACTTTGAACCTCGACAAAGCGTTGGGTGTCTGTTTCGAACTCGGTGGCGAGAATTGGGTTAGGAGAGCACAGACAGCAATGATGGAGGTGGTGGTGTGCGCCCGCGTCATATATTCTTGTGTTTACTCTTCAGAGGTGTCTACTGAATAGGTTGTTAGTGATGGGAGTTCCCAGTGGTTCAGTGAGTTTATCCATTGATTAGCTGATGTATTAAAAATAAATTCCAAGGATCTGGAATTCTGGAATGGTGCCGCTGAGCTGATTTTAGCAAGGGATGCAGACCGAGGTTGGAATCTGAATCAGTTGATGTCTGTCAATATTTGCTCACTTTGCTGAGGTACAGCTGGAACTTTCTGGTCCTGAGTAGGTGCTCAACCAGTGAGGTACCCTGGATATTTTATAGCTATTCTGTTTGCCTAAACTACACTACTATTTCAATTTGGCAATTTGTTAGCTGGTAACATTTCATTTCTCAAAATCCGTACCCTGTTGACTCTTTGCAGAAAGAGTTTTAAAGGGAAGCTTCTTTGATATATTGATACATAGATACAACATCAAAGTGTTCTTTTTGCACCTTCTGTGTTCTAAATTATCATTCACCCAAAAACGCACAGTCAGTCTAGTATTGCAGTGTATCCTGTGAAGCGCTTTGAGACGTCTCAATGACATGATACGGCATTATTATTGAATGCAAGGATAATTATCATTCACGTATTTTGTTTTTCTTGAATTCTATCTTGGTATTACAGCATTTTCATTTGGTATCTTATTTCCAATTTAGAATAGGAAAAGTTGGAAACCAAAAGCGAGTGGTTGGAGTCTTACTGGGTTCTTGGCACAAGAAGATTCTTGATGTTTCCAATAGTTTTGCAGGTAAAAGTCACATTTAATGTAACTACATATTTTACTGCCAAATCATTTTCCTTTTCCTAACATTTCAGAAAATAATAATTCTTTATTCCATTTAATAGTACCATTTGACGAAGACGAAAAAGATGATTCAGTGTGGTTCCTTGACCATGATTACTTGGAGAACATGTATGGGATGTTTAAGAAAGTGAACGGTAAGATTTCTCATGGAATACTTGCAGCTGAGCCAGGTCTTCCCACCATATTAAAATGTACAGTATCAATGAGGTGTAAATTGCGAGGCAATTGTCGCGATGAATTAATTTAAGATCTTTCCCACAATATTTCTTAATCAACATGGTGCAGCTAGTGGTTTCTTTTAATATCAATTAGATGAGTGATTATGTTTTCTCCTAGCCAGGGAAAGGATTGTTGGATGGTACCACACTGGACCTAAGTTACACAAAAATGACATTGCCATCAATGAACTCATGAAACGGTACTGCCCTAATTCGGTAAGGTTTTATATTTTCACTCGTTTTATATTTTCACTCTTTATATAATCTCTCAGCAGTTGATGCTACATTACATTGCTTGTAAAGCATCTAAAATACTTACTTGCATTTCAAGAAGTACCCCATTTATTCCCAATTGTTGTAACTTGTAACTTCGACAATTTGAGTCTCTACTGAATATTGTTTTCACTCTTTGACAACCAAACTGGTTTTAAATTTAAGAAAAACAAGAACTTGCATTTATAGAGCGCTCCTCACGCAGGGTAGAGTCTCAGAAACTTTCCTCTTAAATACTTTATTAATTTTATGAAAAATGACCATGTCCAATTTGTTTACACCTGATTGATATCTTCCTCAGTATCCAGGTGGATTTCCAACAAACTAAAAATCCAATAGTACTTTAATCTAGTCCTTTTATCTTATAATTTCACATATGTATGTCTACTGTAGTACGGCTATCAGTAAAATACTGGGCTGTGATACAGTATGTTGAGTTTCTTTACAAATTTCAACTTAATGGAAATATTACCCAAGAACAATAAAATAACACTTATAGGAGAAACACATCTTCAAAGAAACTATTTTAATTCATGTTTTAATGATTGGAAGCAAACTATATTGTTGAAAATATTTTTTGAAGGTTTTAGTCATCATAGATGTCAAGCCAAAAGATTTGGGATTGCCTACAGAAGCTTACATTTCAGTGGAAGAAGTTCACGATGTAAGTACTGAATTCTGATTTTTCACTTTTTAGACAGAAAGACCCGATTTAAGTGAGGGGGTTGTTTTAGCCAGGTCTTCCCACCAAACCCCAATGTGATATAGCAACATTTCCACAGAATTTTAGGGAAATGCTTCCTTTTTTTAAAAAAAAATTCCATAAAGGAAAGGATAGGCTAGGCAGAGTAATTTCTGTTCCTGTTTTCCATCTAACTTTAGAACAAAATAGTATTTTGTTTTCCTCCATTTCCTGTGACCTACTCCCCTTACTGCTAAATCTCTTGTGTGTTGTATATCACAGGGAGCAGCTGGGTGTGTCCTGAAACCACCATTTAATTTAACAGGTGAGATCTTGAGACACTTGGCCCCAGGAAATACCATCAGTTATGCAACAAAACCCAGTGAGCACCATGGTTCCTGGGGTTGGGTGACTTCCTGGACAATTACAAACCACTTTCTATGATTGGGTATTAAACATCTTGAATCCCATTTTATGGCATTTAATATAGGATTTGTTTTTTATTTTTAAAAAAAGCCATTGTGGATTTGCAAAAGCATATCCAGGCCCTGAGAATAATTGGGGACCATTATAAATATTTATAGCCTGACCAATATCATTTTTACACAGCCAACAACCGATAGGAACTCCAGGTAGATCAAATTCCTTTATTAAACAGATATCTTGACCTCAGTATTTACTTGTATGATATATTCAGGATGGAACTCCAACCTCCAAAACATTTGAACATGTGACCAGTGAAATCGGAGCAGAGGAGGCAGAAGAAGTTGGTGTGGAGCACTTGCTACGGTAAGTGAGAAGGTTTGAACAATAATCTCCCAAATTGCTGTGATGAACCGAATTACCTGCTTTTGCTGTAATTACGTAATTGATTTATTGGGGGGAGGAAGAAAGCATCTCAACTATGCTTTTATAATTAATGGGTGTAGTTTATAATAATCCTTGCGTTTGATTTAGCATTTTCTCACACCGACATTGAGACATCTCCTTGAAGTGTCGCATGATTTACTGTGAAGTGTTGGTGAACTAATTCGAACGAATGTTTATTCTACCATTTAAGAAATTTCATAGCTATAATTGCCCAATGAAGTACACCAATGCAACTTGTTTAATGGACTGAATTAAGGTGTAGCCCCTAGGTATTGAAAGACACTGGCCATTATATAAATTGATAGGTGTGAAACCTTGTTTCAAGAACTAAAATCCTGGAAGCTTTAGGAAATACAATTCCACCATATAGGGTTGTTGTGTACCAACTATGTTGATGATATTGATGAACAAATTGTTGAAATGTAAGTGGGTGAATGTTAAATTGTGTGCAAAATTTTAATTCATTGGGAAAATCAAAGCCTAGAATAAGTAATGTTGCTTTTGCTTTGCAGAGATATTAAGGACACTACAGTGGGCACTCTGTCTCAGCGCATCACAAACCAAGTGCATGGCCTGAAAGGACTAAACTCAAAAATATTAGAAATAAGAAATTACTTAGAGAAAGTGGCCACTGGCAAATTGCCCATTAACCATCAGATTATCTACCAGCTTCAGGATGTCTTCAATCTGTTGCCTGATGTTAACCTGCAAGAGTTTGTAAAAGCCTTTTACCTGAAGACAAATGATCAGATGTTGGTAGTGTACCTTGCGTCTCTCATTCGATCAGTCGTCGCTTTACACAACCTGATCAACAATAAAATTGCCAACCGAGATGCAGAAAAGAAGGAAGGGCAGGAAAAAGAGGATGGAAAGAAAGAGAAGAAAGACGACAAAGAGAAGGAAAAGGGTGATTCAAAGAAGGAAGAGAAAAAAGAGAAAAAATAGAGCGTGTAGGTTTTTTTTAAATTAGAACTCCCATTTGTAAACTTGACCTGAATGCTCGGCAAGTGTCAGGTGGAAATGTTAATACTCAGCATTCTGCAATAAAAGGGCCAAAATATCCAGCCATTGATGTTTGCATGGGGCAGTTTTCTGCATCTGTACAATGTTCAGAATCTTTCAACATTATAAATATTGATTTATTAATACTTCTGGATTTGTTCTCATTTTTCTGCTTCTGCAGAAAGTGTGAAACCCCCTTTAATAGTTCTATACAATTCCATATCTGAACAGAGAATATCAATGAACCAAACCATTTCTTTTTCTGATAGAATTTTAAATTTGGACCTTGACACTTAAATGCAATCAGTTATGTTTCCCGATTGTAGATGGGTGGGGGAAGGGGATTATAGACAAATTCAAACCAAAGTACTTTTAACTATTGTCAAAACAGGTAAACCTTTCTGGAAATATAAACCACTGTCCTTTGAATCAGTAACAGTTGTTTTATTTTGGTCAGCCAGGAATTTGACACAATGGAGATCTCTTGCTATCCTTAAGAATCTGTTCCAACTATTAAAACTCACAGAAGCAGAGTTTTTGATTCCCATTTCTGAAGGGCTCAAGTTCTGGAGTGCGGTGGCTTGTGAGGTACAGGTGCTGCTTTGTCTGTGCCTTGATTGATTGCTCTTTCAAAGAGCCAGCACAGACACGATGGACCTGGATGGCCCTCTGTACTGTAAATTTCTATGGTTCTATGGGATCAAATGGGCCGAAGGGCTTTCATTTGAACCAATCTGAAATTGTAGCAGTTGAAAAGCACAACTTACATATGCACCGGTTTTGATTTTTTTTTTCAGCCAAAGCCGCACAAACTGCTGAGGCATTGGATGGCAAAGTTATCAGAAGCCTACTGTGCCCAGTCACATGTCTACCACCCCGTCTCATTGATCAGCCAGCCTCTTTGGCTCATTTGTTACGGTGCTACGTATTCTGTGGCACCGTCTCCCTTAGGATCTGATGACTGTGTTCATTAACTCAACTACACTCTCCTTTGGCAGGCGTGTCACCCACAGAGCCAGCTTGACCCCCAGAGATTCTCGGGTTTCCTTTCTTTCCCTTCCATTTGGAAGATAGTTAAGTGTTGGTATTCAGACAGCAATAAAGGGCACATTTGTGCTCCCAGTGGCTAGCGAGCTGGTACTAGGAACTTCTGTCAGCTGGAATAAAGTTGCATTAAGCGCATTGCCACCATGCTCCAGCTCACAGCCAGGATACGCTAACAAATGAAGATTGCCTCGAGACAAAATTGTCAAGCTTCAGTTGTTAAGATTCTGTAATGTATGCCACCAGATGTAAGGTGGGCTCAGAAACCATACAAATAACTCCTTCCACTAGCCTGCTGCATTACTACATCTAAGAAATGTTAAACTTTTTAAAGTTTACTACCTCAGCCGGTGTCTAGTTTGTAGTGTAGGTTGTTGTCTTGATATCTAGCCATTAACCAATTTACCTATACAAGTGCCCCAATTATTTGTGCCAATTGAATGCCCTGTCCTCTTTCCAAAAATAAATCCCAAATGACACGCAATGTATTGCCCAATTACTAAAGAGAATGTTACAAAGAAAATAAATCATTTACATGGTATTAGTGAACAAGTAATCTGTTTGGTAATGGGAATGCAGAAATGATTAATCTGTGACGCTTGAGGTTTTTCCATTTTCTTTTAAGTTATACGGTTCATGGAGCAGAAGGTGGCAGTGTTGTCCTGTGAAGCAGCTTTGAAGTGGTTCCCACCTGAAACTGCCTTTTTGCTTGTAATACCAATTTCTTTCAGTTGAAAACGCAAAATAATTGGCTCAATGCAAGTGGTTGCAACTATGTCATTTCAGGGGATTATTCCTAATCATTAATACGCACATTAGTCTTGCCCTGTGTTTCAAAAGATTTGCATCAACCGAGGTGAGAATCAGAAGCCAAGTGGGAAGATTCCTGTGCCGGTCACGTATCACATCCTTGTCTCCTGATGTAGGAAGAGTAACGGGTGAATTATAACCCATTGCTTCATTAGTACTTCCCATTTTTTTTAAAGTAGTGGAAAGTTCAATAGTTTATTTTATCTTGGAGGTTCAGTATTAAATTGAGAACACCCAGAGGTGTTTTGACTGAATAGTTTAAAATGGTGTTACAGGATTAGAATTAGATGGCTGGATTATATATAGCTATAGTGAGCTGATGCAGTTTATGTGACTCAACAACAACTTGCATTTATATAGCTCCCTTCACGTGGGTAGCTTCCCGGAGTGCATTTAAGTCTAAATAAATGTACAGAATCTCCTTTCAGTGTAATATTGTACTTTTTTATTTTGGCAAAGAATGAAATAAAATAGTCACTGGAACACATTGAATCAATAATATGAATTCATACTGGGTTTGTTATCTTGAGCAGTGGTTCTCATAGTCTTTAATCAGTACCACATAATTTAAAATGATTGGAAAACATATATACATGATTTACAAACAAATTCTTAAAATGTAAGAAAGTATTTTCTTCATACTAGGTATAAACAATTTGTCTTGGTGAAACACTCAGAAATCAAGTTAAAAGAATCAAATGAGAATTTTAACTCAATTTGTCCATGAATAGCATGTTTAGTTTTCTCCAAACCCTGGAAAGGTAATATTTGAAAACAGCCCTGCCAAAAATAATGTTATGGAAAATCATAATAGAATTTAAATAAAATTAGATTAAATATCCATTGCAAAATTTACTGTTTGACTTTTATTATACATACCAGAATTGAAGCAATTTTGGTTGTCAGCAGTATGAAATGATATCAAAAGATTTGAGTAAATTGGCAGTCAAAAGAATGTTCTAATAATCCTTGCATTTGATATAGTGCCTTATCAAGAACTCTGGGACACTGCCCTGAGTGAAGGGCGCTATATAAATGCAAGTTTTTGTTATCACACCTTATGTTGAGGTGTCTCAAAGCACTTCACAGAATCTTTGTAAGGTGGATTGGCTGTATTTTGTGGACGAGAAATACTAAAACCTGCCGCACAATATCCAGCAAATATTGTTTGAGCTCCAGGACTTTGACATATGTGTCAAACACAAAGATTACATATGGTAATAAATGAAGTCTAGCAATGATTCAGAAAGGGTAGACCTTGTCTGACTAACCTCAGACTTTTTTTTAGAGGCAAGTTACCAGGAAGGGTTGTTGAGGTCAGTATTTTGGACCCATGTAGGAAACAGCTTGATGATGTGATGGAAAGATGTGTAACGTCTGTATTCTGGAAGCATGAGAACAAATGGCACCTTCATCCAAACCGATCAGGTGAATTAATTTCTAAGTAAAAAGTGTTTTATGGGTTTTACTTGCTTTCAGTGGGAGGGATTGAGAAAACCCATGAATGATGGAAATCTTAAGTAAAAACAGAAACTACTAGAAACGGCTAGTCAACCAGCAACCTGAAACAAAAAGCTATTTGCACCTAAAATATCACGTGTCAGCCTGACTCAGTTGGTAGCGCTCTCGCCTATGAGTCAGAAGCCTCACATCATGACTTGGCTGAACACACAGTGTCGGGGATGTGCTGCATTGGTGGAGATGCAGTGGCTTTGTTCGAGACATTATGCAATCCCATCTGTCTAGATCAGAATTGGGATTGGAATAGTTGGGAACAGTGTAGGAATAGGCTCCAGCCAAATTGATGAGCCAAATAGCCTCCTCCCTGCGGTCATTTTTCCAATTCTATAAATACTTCTGCTAAAGCTATTTAGAGGGATAAATCTCCAGACCAATCTAGGCTTCAATAACAGAAGTTTGGGTGATACATGTTCAGTTTTTATCTAATCCACTGGAGGGAGTGCCAGACCTGGCGAAGTATCACATCTCAGTAGGGAATAAAAACCAGTTGTTGACCAGCTTGTTCCACATACTGCACGCTGATGGCTGGTTGGCTGGACAAATGCGGGGGGAGACAAATGCGGGCGGGGCAGGGGAGGTGAAATCCTGCCTGCAAGCAACAACAACAAAATGGCATTTGTATAGCGCCCTTCACATCAGGAGGACATCCCAAGATCCTGGACAAACAGTGTTTCAGACCTGAGCTGGGGGTCGGGATTGGGAAGGGTGGAGGGCAGGGGGTAAGGAGGGTGACCAAAGGCACGGTCGAAAAGGAGAGTCTTGAGATGGATCTTGAAGGAGGCACGAGAGGGGGCGAGACTGCGGGATGGAGTTCCAGAGGGTTGGGGAATGAGTAGAAGATAGCGTCCAAGGCTGCACTCGCCACCTCTCAAAGCCGGTCACGAACCTCGGTGTTCTGTTCGACCCTGAGCTGTCCTTTCTCCCTCATATCCGCGCCACAACTGGCACCGCCTTCCATCACCTCCGGAATATCGCCAGACTACGGCACTACCTCACCCCTCACGCTGCTGAAACTCTGGTCCACGCCTTTATCACCTCAAGGCTGGACTATGGGAACTCTCTCCTCGCGGCCTTCCCAGCACCTCCCTCCACACTGCAGGTCATTCAGAACTCTGCAGCTCGTGTACTGTCCCGCACCAGACACCGCGCCCACATCACTCCCACCCTCGCCCTCGCTCGCCTCCACTGGCTCCCCATCCCCCAGAGGATCGAATTCAAGATCCTCATAATAATAATAATTCTTGCATTTGATATAGCGCTTTTCACGTCGGGAGGACGTCCCAAAGCGCTTCACAGAACACACTGTAAAGTGAATTGACTGTATATTTGTGGGCGAACGCAGCAGCCAATTGTGCACAGCAATGTCCCACAAACAGTCGTAGATTGAAAATGACCAATTTATTATTGTTTTTGGTGGGATTATTATTAGGCTGTCTCTCATCCTCACCTACAAGGCCATTCACGGCCTTGCTCCCTCCTACCTCTCCGACCTACTATCCCCCTACCTACTTGCCCATACCCTCCGTTCCTCTGGCTCCGGTCTGCTCCACATCCCCCGCCCCAACCGCCCTACCATCGGTGGCCGGGCCTTCAGCCTCTCAGCCCCGAGGCTCTGGAACTCCATCCCCCAGTGCCTTCGCCGCTTCCTCCCTTTCCTCCTTCAAGGCCGGTCTCAAGACCTTTCTCTTTGACCGTGCCTTCAGCTCCCTTCTCGACTCTCTACCCCCTCCTCGCTCCCTCCCTCCCCTCACCCTGACCATTTCCCCACACTGCTCGGGTCCCGACCCAACTGTACAGCGCCTTGGGACGTCCTCCCGACGTGAAAGGCGCTCTATAAATGGAATCTTGTTGTTGTTGTTGTATAAGTTACCAGTCCAGGTAGGTATGAATTCCAGATACCCGGAGTCCAGTAAAGCCAGGGATTTACTCTAAATGCTAATCAAGAATAATCAGGAGAATGCCAAATCTTAATATCCTCTCCAAAGAATATGCAACAGTATCTGAAGGAAGCACATATAATGGAACCAAATACTACTAATAAAAATCAACAAGTGTGATGGTTTGCTGCTATATAGTGTGTCCATTATTCTATTTACATGGCTGACTAGGATACATTGTTTATTCCTCCTGATGCAAGTTAAAAAAAATTCCATGTAGCAAGCCAGCAACTGTAATTCATTACAGAAACAATTCAAGGGAAATGTAATCATCTCAACAAACAAAAAGCTAACTTTTGGCATTAACACAATACACATCTTATGGAGAAGTTTAAAGTGTGCATGCTATCGAAAAATGTAACTGAACTGAAACTCCAAATTAGTTTTCAGGTTTAATGCAAAATGATGAAGCAAACAAAGAAAAACACACAGGGAAGAAATAAAGTTTGGAAAACAAAGGAGCAAAAATAGTAGTCACTTTGAACTGTTTGTTTTCAATCCAAAAAGAATCTGTAACAATATTTAGCAAATCACAACAAACTCTTGGGCAGAAAATATGATGTAGTTGGCACCACACTGATTGCAGGGATCACACCTCAACACAATATTAAACCTATACCTTGGATTTGGTGGATTTGACTTTTCAAATAATTCTACACGGGAGCCGTTGCCAATTTCACTGGATACAGAAATGAATTTAGCAGCATCAATTTAAGCCAATAATTCTCATGAAGAACTGTTCAAACCTTTACCTGTACGATGGATGATAATGCTATAAAAGGGCAGCTATTTTCATGAACATATAATAAGGACTCATTTCACAATAAATTCATCACACTTTGGGTCCAGTATAATTCCAGAAAGATTTCTTTTGCATTTTGTTAATATATTCAACAGCCTCGCTTCCACACAGATATTTTATTGAATGACAACATTCTAATCTGTGTATAGATTTTAGCTTTCTGCAATGCTTGTCACTTAGTCTGGACTCCCAGAATAATCAATAAATCAATAAAAGATGCCACAAATTTAACTTAATTTGTACAAGGCAATTCAAAAACTGGGGATGTTAAGCAAACCTCTCATTTCACATGTTAAGTTTCCTCAAGGGCAGTAAATAACCAGCTTTACAGTCTCAGCACTGTTTTTAAACACACAATGCTTCATTTCTGTACAGTTGTTTTATTTAATAAAATCATTTCCCATTTATTTGCAACATATTTAAAATATTACATTCACCTTAAACATCTACATAAAAAAATTATGGTCCTATTTGCTCTATTATACCAGAAAGACAAATATACAATTCTTATATACAATATTTTCCTGTTTTGAAAAATAATGTATTGTGTACAAGGGAACTTGTTTTGTTTTCTTTGATTTTACAATAGATAATTAAAATATTGAACCTTTCTCTATTAAAGCGTGCAATATTAATCTTTTTATATTAACATAGAAGGGCTCTCTCAAACGGTACACTTCAGAAATGTTCACTCATTAGATTTTTAAATATATTAAATAGCATTTAGGTCAAATGTTTCATGTGAATTGAAATAGTGAATAAAGCAACAGTACTTTAGCAAAGAAAGGCTCTAATATCCAATCGATCTCAATATCTTCAATTTGCAGGTTTCAATTAAAAAAAACTACTGATTTAAGCTTTCATTACTCAAGTTTTCTTTAAATGCCAGATTTCACCTTGTAAGAAATAATTAAATAAACCTGCCATTCCATCTGAAATCATACAATTCAGCACGAGCGGAGAAAAACAGCACTTTGGTTAGTTACTGAAATTTGGGTGAAAATGATTTTGGGTGAAAATGAATCTTACATAACAGCCATTATAATATGATTTAAAACCTGAATTTAAAAAAAGGGGGAAGGTTAGCTGGACTGGTGATCACAGGCTTGAAAACAGTTTAACAAATGTTGTAATACTTGTAACAGATATGCAATTTTTTTTGGTTTACATTTTATGATCCATCAATAAACAATGTGTGCCTGCTAACTTTCCATAAGTGACCATTTTTTCAGTCAAAGATATAAACACCCCTAAAATTGCAGGTACCACCAGTTATAATGGCCACTATTTGCATCGTGCTCTGAAGTCATTTGTGAAGCAATTAAAGTTGCATTTAGCATTTTCTAAATAATCTCTTTAGCTTCACTTGGTTTCATCATTTCAAATTCAACTATTTAGACTTGACCTAATTAATAATAAATGCTGCTTGTCAAAAGATAACATTTGTTACATTAACAGTGAAGTAATACCCATTTCAATATCAATCTATGGTAGTTTCAGAAAAAAAGGGATATTGCAACTTTAATCTCAATTCTGCAAAGAAAGAAGACAATATTCATCAAAGGCTAAAGTAAGTGAACTTTAAAGACTTTGCAGATTTCACTTATGATCGCATGGAAATGAATCAAAACAAACAGAATGAGACTAGAGATCCCATAGAAGACAGGCACAATCTGCTGTTCTTTGATTATTTTGCATAAATCAATTACTCCTGACCAAAACCTTCAGTCTCTTCAATGGCGAAAAGCAGCTTCTCCTTGAGCTGATCATAACTTTTGTATGGAGGAAGGTCCAAGCGATTGAAGCTGGAAAAAAACAGAATTAGTCAAACCGAATATTTATATTTTCCTTTTTTAAAATAATTTTATACCTCAAAGATGATGGTTTCCACATAATCCTGGGCAGTCCTACAGAAAAAAGGACTCAATTTGATTCCCTTTATCTCTCCCTCTCCACCACTGCTACTATTTGATTAGGATAGATACACAGTCTATATTACATTTTTATCCACAAAGTCAGTCTCACAGCTTTCATGACAAGGCATTGGTTTGACTCAAACGCTATACTTTTTTTTAGCAACGCAGTTGAGGGCAAAAGATTTTAGTTCTCATCCATGACAATCATTCGCAATATGGATCCCTGAGGAGACTGATAGATTATGTCCAAATCATTGGGGTTGAGGGAACAGATTTTTTCATGGGGGGGGAGGGGATGGTGGGATAAAGTTAGGAAACATCCCTCATTACGGATGAAGCACAGAACCTCAAGTTACCAAAGAGACTTGATCAATTTGGAAAACAAAAAGATTCAGTACTCCAGATTTGCTTGTAAATATTTAGAAAAAAACATGTTTAACAAAGACAAATTCAGCATTTTCACCAAATTGTATTAAATCATAAGTTATTGTACTCTGGGAGCAGTTTGCTGGGCTTGGATTTTGAGAAAGTGCCAACAGCTCCTGTTAAATTTTTCCATTACCAGCATTTATTTGTCCCCTGGCCTCAAACTACACACTGAGATTTTGACACAGCTAAACTTCAGAACCAAATAAATGGATGTGAAGGAGTGTTAAATGTGATAGCTTGATCCCAAAATGTCTGTATTAACAGGCCACATTCCAACTACAACACAATACAATCACCTGCATCCACCGCAAATATTCCAGGACAAAGGAGCTTACACAGGTTTCTGTGGATTTATTTTTTAAAAAAAAAAAAAATCACTGAGCCAAAAAGAGAAGTCCAAAGTAAGTCCCTGGACTGTGTGTGTGGAGTTACTGGCAGGCACTCGCCAGCGTCTGTACTTGGGAGCAGAAGATTAGCCAGATTTCCAATTCTAATAAATATCTGGAGATGCATGGAAAGCAAGCGCGTGCGAATTCCAAGCAAGGACAACATCAGTTTCAGCTCTGGTGATCATCCTCTCTACCTTCAAGGTCCCGTTGACCCACTGGCTCCACATGGGCTACCAATCTCAGGAAAGGAGACTAGAAGAAATAGAGAGAGAAAATCTGGGAAACTTGTGTATTTTATCTAAACGTGCTGTATAACATACCACGTGTGACTTCTTGGGAGCCATGTATCCTTTCCAACTTTGTCAATGCAGAATTTTTGTGGGCCGTTGCTCCCTATGTAGAAAGAAATGCATACATCAATAAAATGCAACCAGCTCAAAAGGGTGTCCGTATCTATGCAGAAGCTACTGAAGACTTGCTGGTTTGCAACAATGGTTAAACTAACATCACCGCAATTCAGAATGAATTTAAACAAGAGCTACAAAACAAAGTTTCTGATCTCAAATTACACTGTGAAGCACATGTGTACCCACAGGAAACGGAATAAGTGACTCCATCACTTGGCACCACATGGCAGCCAGTTCCACGCTGTTGTGATGATGCGTTGTGACCCATTAGAGGGAAACAAGTAAGTTGAATTTCATCTCAGCGAAAGAAAAGGCTGAGAAGACCAAAGGTCGAGTTCGACCATTAGTCAAGGAAATGTGTAAAATGTGTATTTGAACCTTTACTCTTGGTACAATATTGTAACGTTGCAATAACGGCAATAAAATAGAATCCTCCGTGTTATCTGGGAACGTTATCTTTCAGAAGGCTATTTCTCACCTATTAGTTCTGCAAAACCTCCAACAGGCAGACGGCATGTGCCAGTAACAAACTGCAGCAATCTGATCCGCTTCTCGTTGTCCATTTCTTTCACAACCTGAGAGCAACATAGTATAACATCAGACCACATGATATCCGCGTGTTCATGATTTATAGCATTTCATGTGGGGAAATATCCAGAGCATTCAATTTCACACAAAAATGATAGCGGGGGATACTCCATTCAGCCAACGCCTATGCTGGTTCTAGCTGCATCATTTGAAATCACTGCTTCTAGTCCAAATGCTTTGCTATATACATTTGCAAAATTGGCATGCAAACAAATTATCTAAGATTGTACTCAAAGCACTTCCAGATTTGAGTGAACCAGACGCCTACATAGCTATTCTGGCTTTTCCAAAACCTAGTGGGAAATTTATCCTAGGGATAATGGCACATCTGACGCAGAACCTCACAAATCCTGAATTCTTTCAGTTCAGAATATCATCTCCTGAGGTTGATAGTGTTCTCACCTGCCAGAACCACTGGATGGGTTTGCTGTTCTTTGTGTAATGGCGATAGATAGTGCTCTTCTGCCAGTCATTAATGTCGATTTCTTGCATTCCGCACAGCATTAACTGTAATTCAAATAACAATTGCTCACTAGAGATCAGACTTATTTTTGCATTATATTATTATCATTATTTCAATGAGGTTGAGTTCTGAATTTTAGAGGAAAGAGCTAAGATGAACAACTCGAAAAGAGACATCACAAAGGAGGTTCTTTACAGAGAAGATGCTCAATTGAATTTTTTTTAAAAAAACGCAGAATAGTTTTAGATCCCCCAAGAAGGCACAGGTTCAGAGTTTATCAGCTTGTGAAGGACATGTTTAGGCAGACATGAGGAAGTGTTTTTTATGCAGAGGGGAATCAACAGCTGGATTGAGCCAACAGGAAGGAATGTTGTGACCAGGACACTGGACTCCTTTAAGAAACAACTTGATGCTGTAATGGGTAGACAGTAGCATTGGTCTTCTGGAAAGACGAGATGAAATCGCCCACAGGGCATTCAATTTATTTCTGGTTACATTAAAAAAAAGGTTTAAGGCACTTAGTTGCAATGGGAGAGAAGATTTGGTCTCCGGTTCTCTTTGGAATCCACAGAATCCTTTTTAATATGTGCATAACTGTACTATTTAATCAGTTCAAAAGTGCTTCCATAAAAATCATTTTCCATATTTTAAAAAAAAGCATAACATCTGCCAAAAAATTTAAGTTATCTGTGAAATCATCCATTTTGGGGGTTTATTTTTAAAACCACAAACAGCTATGCTTCTTAGCTAATTATTAGATTCCAAGATAACTAATAAATCTACTTCAAGTCTCGCTTCCTAGCTGGATTTACCTAAGCAATAAGAATGTATCACAAATGCAGATGTGAAGTGAAAGGTTAGTTATCTGAGGAGATTTAATAATAATTCTATAATCCTTGCATTTGATATAGTGCTTTTCACATTTTCTGGACGTCTCAAAACACTTCACAGAATATACTGTAAAGTGAATTGACTGTATATTTTGTGGGTGAAACGCAGCAGCCAATTGCACACAGCAGCGTCCCCACAAACAGTCGTGGATTGAAGTGACCAATTTATTATTGTTTTTTTTCTTGAGGGACTATTATCAGGTGTGTGGAGTAGGAAACTTGCCCAAGGTTTCGCCCTACCGGGAATTGAACCCAGATCTCTCGCTTGAGAGGCGAGTGCTCTAACCACTGAGCTACAGGACAAGACATTTAACACAAGACAAGATATCTCCCCAAGATATTTAAAACATCACATCAGAAGTATCATTGGTTTGGTGCATTCATTTTTGTCCCAGTTGCAGTCTGGGTTTTGCACCATTTCCTCTCTATATAATCTGTATACATCTTGCAGCATATGCAAAGACAAATGACAAAAATAAATGTGTACCTCTAGCTCTTTCTCGTCAAAGTACCGCAGCCATTCCAAGGGCACCACCTCATTAAACCCATCCAGGAAAGCTTTTGTTTGTTCCCCAACTCCACGAGTAAATCTCCAGTCTGTTAGCAACCTAAGAAACATGACTGCTGCTGTGAACATCTCTGACAATTAATGGTGATAACGAACTTTCTGGCCCAGCAACTTAATAACTTTTTATTATTCTGAATTAATAGTTTTAGGATACTGCATATCCAAAACTATCAACTTCGAATAGCCTTGTAATAATTCATACACCCCTGCAACTGTTTTTTTAAAATGGAGCGTACCGATACTCTGAATAGATTCAACAACAACAGCAGCAACTTATATTTGTGCAGCCACTTTCACGTCGGTAAGACGTCCCAAAGCATTAAACAGTCAAGGATGTGCACCCGAGCTGGGATTTGGGATCAGATTCCCTGCACATTGATAAATTTGGGAAGATATCCTGCTCTGTTAATGCCATCAGATGAGCAAATTTGGAGACTGATAGTATGTGAAATAGTCAAGTAGTAATGCGATAGGCCAGGATGCGTGGAGTGACCATAAACAGCTTAAGAGCTCCATTCCAGTTTATGATTTCGGAAAAATAATGAAGATTTCCAAATCAGAATTGTAAAACAAATATTCAGGATCACTAACCTCATATACTCCTCTTTATTTTCTTCTGTGACCATAATGTTTTCTCCATCTTTCTTGAGCTCATGTGTTGTAACTTTTCCCAATATTTCCATGTCCTGAGCAAAATAGAGCTCTAAGCCACATTCTTCTATGTCATTCTCTCTGAAATAGAGGAAAGGGGGAATAACACAACAGGCAGAAAGGGTTATTATTCAGTCTTTGAATCCTCTAGTAAATTTCTTCTGTGCATCATTCCGATCAGCAACTAATGTCTTTAGCTCCCATTTTCTATAGTGCACCGACTACTTTCTATTTCACAGATGTTTGGTTATTCAGGCCCAAAAGGTATATTTATTAATCACTGTGCTTTCCAAATTTGCAGTTCTTTTTGGGGGGGGGCGGGGGGTTGAACTATGGAGCCAAATGAAGCTAAAAGCTAACAGTAATTTTTTTTAACCAGCCTAGAGAAGAAATACTGAAAAAGAATTAAAAACACTTTGAAACGAAGCATTTTACAACTATAAATCATTGTGTATGTGGTCTACTATATTGGGCTACAAATTTAAGAAACTAAAGTTTACTTACTTGATCCACAAGAGAGAATTGTAGAACTCAGGGTCAATAGATTCCAAGTCCTTTATCGTTGGCTTTTTATTGAGCATGTGTTTGTAAAATGGCAATGTGAATCCTGTATCAATGAATTTGCCATGATACAGAGCCTAGAAAGTAAAAGAAGAACTGTTGAGTCAAATCAGTGTGTTCAATGTTATGTTTCTCACAACTTTGCTTTACAGCACAAAGGCTAACCATGCATTACATGCATTACATTTACATTCATAGTCCCTATTAGCAGTTTACCACTGCCTTAAACATATTACATAAGTGAAAATACCACAGGCTGACCTACTGTTCATAGTACACTATCTGACTGCAAAACACTTTGATTGTTATATGAAGTCTTCCTAGCCTCACAAAACCCACAGCACAGAAAAACAGTGTTTCTAAATACAAACATCACAAATGCAGTCAGTTTAGAGAATGCAACCAGCAGCAACATCTCTGGCCAAATGCAAGTTCAACTCTGAACTAAACAGATCTGTTAAAATGATTTTTCTTGCCTCTTTTCCCACATACTGTAAAGCCTTTCTGGCCAACAAAGCAAGCAAACAGCCTGTTCCCAGGATTCTGCCACTGCTGTTCTGTAACAGACTCAAGACTGCTTGCCAACACAAAAATAAAATATGACTCTTGTGTGACATCAACTCCAAACAAAAATATACTGCTTGCTTTATCGTAACAACTTAATTCATAACAGATTAACAATAATGTATAATTATTTGGTTCTTAGTTTATTGTAAAAATCTAAATTTTGACTAATCTGGATAATTTTGCATTCTAATTGAGCATACTCACACATGGAACTGATTATTCTACTCCACAAGGGCATAAATTCAAACACTGACGTCCTGATTTCATGGCTGGGATCAAGCAACACAAGTAAATATTGTTTATTAAGCCAATTATCTAGTAGGACGTAGTCCCAAGTAAATCAATTGCATAAAGCATGGGAGGTAAGCAAAATAGATGAGTCTGTTTGCCCCGATGTAGAGGCAGAGGCCTGCAAGGTCTCTTCCTCACCTGTGGCGAAAGGCATTCAATCACTTGTGGCAAAGTACACATCTGTTTTTGCTGATAGAATATGTGGGAGGTCTGTTTCCTCACAACCCTGAGACCTCCAGTTATTCAAATACCAATATTTATAGGTTCTAGAATTGAAACTGGATTCCCAAACCATGTCTTCATACATATGAACTGAACAAATATATGTATTGTGGAATTATATTACTTAAAAATAGTTGATTATATTTACTTATTTTCCAAGCTTCGTTTTTAGTACAGAATTTCAGTTAAGACTTACCATTGCTATGAACCTTCCAATGAATCGGAAATAGGTCAAGTGGTCTGGGTTAATTGATGACGCTGGGTTGATCTGAAGACAATAGTTGTTTTTTCCAGCATACTCAAACAAACAGTACATTGGATTCAGAACCTCGTGGGAAAGCAGGAAGAACCATTCTCTAAGAAACAACGATAAACTCCAATGAGATTTTTAAAACTCTTACTGGTTTAAAGAGTGAAAGAATCAAATCAAACTTTGTATTTTCCTTATCTGCAGGTGAAACCGTTTCAAAGTGCTTCACAAATTTTCTGTAAAGTGAAGTGACTGTAATTTCTAGGCAAACACAGTAGCCAATTTGCACACATCAATGTCCCATAAGTGAATGATCAAATTTATCTGGAGGATTGTTGGTCAGGGCACTGGGAGAAACTCGCTTCTCTTTTCTAATAGTCTCATGGTATCTTTAACGTCCAGCTGAACAGGCAGACAGAACCTCATTTGAATGTCTCATCTGAAGGGGCGGCACCTTTGATGCACCATCACTGCATTGAAGGCCATTAAATGAAGGCAGTTGGAAAGTTCTATCTAAGATCTTTACAAAACAGACAAAAGAAATTGCTCTGATATGCAATTATTTTAAATCGGTCAAAAATGCTGAAATTATACCTCCTGAAGAAAAGCCAGCTGCAGAGGCAATCATGCAGACAACCTAAACCATTCCCACTTCTTTAACTGGTGCAATCATTTGGCCAACAATCCTGTTATTGCTTGTATACAGTCCTCTAAACATCCAATTAATAAATAGTTCATTGCACGTGGAAATTCAATTGATTCTCGCCTTGTTCAGGTTCTTCAATACCTTTTGAACATCACTTTCAGAGTCGCAATTGTTCACAACTTTACTTTTAAGATTACATAACTTTTTATTTGATGAAACTATTTTATTGGTTTCACCATCCTCACAACATCGACGCAAATCTACTCTACAACAACCATTAAGGATGACTGTGAAAGGAAATTAATTGTACTCTGACCATAGTAGTTCAAGATCGAGATTTCACATCAGCCAACAAATGGTCCTCTCAGAGGCTCCCCTACTGGGATGGCCTTGGGGTATGAAGTCAGATTTGCCAACTTAACCCCATCGGTAACAAGAACAAATTTTATCCAGCTTCTGCTAGATTCTAATCATATAACAATGTTTTACTGAACTTCCAAGCTGCTTAGTTTAAACAGGATTCTTTTGAAATCTGCTCATCTTTCATGCAAATCACTGAGCATTAGTGTATTTTAACAACAGTTCTACAAGTGAGCTTTCCCATGGATTTTAAATTAAAGTGAATTCCCAATTCAGCCAAAGTATCCAGAGACGTTTTCCCTAATGAAAGAACTCGGAGACTGTGCCAAACTGGGCTGCACTGAGCACCTCCTAACACAGAGTTACACAGAGAGAGACATAAGTCCTGGATATCCTGCTTTTGCTTCTATCAATTCTGGAACGGTGCACCTTGGTTTGGGAACGGGAGGCTCCGATGAGAAAAATATTTTATTCAAAAATAGCTTTGAATGCAAAAATGATCCAGAGTGGTCTAATAATCTATCGGACAGAAATATGATAAACTCCATTCCTAGGTCCACCTGGTTTCCATATGGAATATGTTCACTGGAATCAGGCTACAAATATATCCATCTGCTTCATGTAACTAATAGAATACATCAATTTTTTTCTAGCAAAAAAGGCATAGGAAAGGCAACATTTCAGCACAGAGACAAGTGGTTTCCGCTGGTGAGGGAGAATCTCAGTAGCCTGTCCGTGGTTCTACCCTGTGGTAGAACAGCATGACGTAACCTACCATAGGGTAAAACCACTGGTAGGTCACAGAGTGGAAAGGGTTGGAGAAAACGATGACAGAGACTCCGAACACTATAGATACTTCTTCCACCAAGGAAAAACAGCAACATAGAAAAAGTAGTCCCACGCAATAAAAGGCAGAATACAAAGAAGCATTGACCCAGCAGTTTACATTAAAAGATGCACTTGTGTAGAAAATATTCTCCAGATTGAGGACAGAAATTGTCCTTTTAGTAACAACTTTACAATTTTGTTTTCAAAGAAAGTTGAACTTTAGATTCCAGATTTGATTTTTATTTTCTATATATTATAAAGAGCAGCTTTTATTGAAGATGTTATAGCATTTAGGGTTTCATGACACCAACAACCTGCTAGATTTTAGCACATAGAATTACAGTTAAAACACCGCATCAATTTCAACCACAGTTCATAATTTATAGATTGTATTTAAGCATAATTGTTAAGCGCAATTTAGAAATCTTTCACAAAGAAAATAAAAAAAAATGCATAAGAAAGGGAAAATAAATGTAAAATACTTGTTTGAAAGTCAGAGTGGGTTGGGAATGAGAACAAGATAACCGGTACCAGCTAATAAGAAGTAAGGAAATGTTAAGGATTGAGATATTTCAGGTTGAATAAATCTCATAATATTGTTGAAATATAAATGTGGAAACTCATACCATTTTGCAAGAATAAATACAATTCTTTTACACTTTACTTTAAAAAAGTGTCCTGATTTGCACATTTTAGAATGCTGTATCATTTTGCAATTACCAACACATCTTAATTTGTTAATAAAAACTATAATATGCTTCTTTATGTAATTCCACCTCCTGTCCTGTACAAGTTGAATTCAAAGGTAAACTTTTTGTTTTACATATTTTCACCAATGGACCTGGTCTATACCTGGACCTGGAGACTCCATCTGTCTTACAGATACAGAAAAAAAAAAGATGCACATGTTCATAAACTTTCACACCACAAATTTGCCATTTTCTACACTAACCTGAATTTATCTAACAAACTTAAAGCACAAACAAATTTGGTCTTTGTTTGAATTACCATTACACCACAAAACAAATATGTAGGATGAATTCATAAGAATCAAGCAGACGTGCATTCATTGTATTATAACTAGAACTCGTCAACCACAATGTCGCTTGACGATAAGGCAAACTTTCACTTCTAATAAGCATCCACATGTAGAATCACTTACCTAGCTATGCCGCCATAATCCAGACCCTCCTCTCCACGCATTATTATGTACAACCTACGCCGCAAATCATACGGCTTCATGTTCATTATCTGCAAAGTAAAGGTTTAATTTACGAAATATGTTTCAATGAAAAAGTGACAAAGAGGAGAGAGCAAGGTTAAGGGCATAGAACTTCAGAAGAGATGTGGTCAAAATTGATAGATAAAAGACAAATGGAGGAGTGAGTTCTGACATCTAAAATAACTTGTAATGGCCCAATGATAGAGAAAATAAGCATTGCATCTGGAATATTAATATTAAAAAGGATGATATACTACTGATCAGTTGTATGGAGTGAGGACATACATGTCTCAATCCTAATCCATGTCTGATATAAACAGTAATAAGCACAGCCTGCACATGTGTCAGTGAGGGGTGGGAGGAATTTAGAGCGGAGAATTGTGGCTTTGTTATTACCTGTTGAAAGGAGTCTTCAAATAATGTCTGTCTAGAGACGCTGATTTTCACATGGCTTGGTAATGCATTCGACTGAAACAAGAAATAATCATCACAATAAATAAGAGTCCATGAACCATCAAGTTGTTAAATGACAACTTTTATTCTGGTGGAAGAAAATGTATCTATTGCTAAGATTAATATCACTGAGTGAACCAAGTACAGTTTGCACTAGAGCTATTAGTAACACTTTATTTCCACCTGGAACTGGAAAAGTTCCAGAAAATGTTTGAGAAAAGAACATTACAATGCAGAAATTAGAATTAATTATTTTTGGCAGTACAATTAACTAACAACCTCCTACAATGTTTCAAAAGCCAAAATGTTGATTTCTAGTCTTTAAATTGAGGAAATCTCTGAATTACTCCAATAAAGTGTTCTATCTTTATTCGAGTGCCCAGCAACTAACAGGTATGTGCAAACAGCCTGGAGTCCAAGTGACATACCACTTCTTCTGTTGCTATGTTTATCTTACTTATGGGCTGTGTGTTCAAGTAAGATTTCCAATAAGAAAAACGAAGTAATTGTTCTGATAGCACACATGGTCTAACACCTATCTTTGAAATCACGTAGTTATTGGTTTGAATTACAAAGCTGCCCACCTCTCAAATCCACATAACCGCAGCTGGAAGCCAGTTCTTAGCCAGACTGCTAGGTGGAGCATGACACCATGGAAAGATGCTCCATTTTGGGGGAGTAAAAAACTAATATAACCACTTTGCAATGAAATGTCAAAACACGACTTTAAAAGTGTGTACGGAAAAAAAGTTTTAGTTTGAAGTGAACAATATGACATAAAGGATAAGAACAACTGCTTGGGCAAAACGGCAAAGATTGTTTGGCCACATTCATCTCACCACATTTCCCGATATTACAATTCTTTATTTTATACTCAGAAGTATAATTCTGATTCTTGGTTTGATTTGTGTAAAGTTATACTCACGTGACAGAGAAATCGGAACTGATGATACTTCCACCGAAAGCTACGATCATACGCTGCTGGAGAGCCACTTTTTGCACTGCAAAGTTATTAAATAGCTTAAGTTTTGTAATGGCATGAATCTACCCACCTCAGCTCACTAAACAAATAGCAGCTCCATCTGGTTAGCACAACAAATGCTGTACCCAGTGTTGTAATAATTACATTACACAGCTCTGGTTACATTTGGAAAAAACGTATCTAAGCTTTAAAAGTTCAGATATATTTAAAACATTCTTCAAAATATTTGATTTGAGTATAAATACTGGATAACATGAAGGGAGAGTTTCAAATAAATAGGAGAATGCTTTAAGAGGGGTAAAAGTATTAAGCATGTTTGGTTAGAAGGGCGACTGAAATGAGTTTTTCACAGTACATTAAATTACTGCTTTATATCTGCACAAGCTCTGCCAAGTCATGAAACATTCATGTTGCTGCGAAAGTTAAGGTATAACAGGCCTTATTGTTAATGCCTTGGCAGCGATTCATTTTAATAAATCCTGCTCCTATTTCGCCATCCTGTCACACACCAATCATGAACACACCATTATTATTCTGGAGCAGCCTGCAATGTTGCATGTGAGCTCCTTGTTCCCCAGTTGTGGTGGGTTCCAGTTGTACATGATTCGATCATTACATTAGTAAGAATGATCTGATGAATTAGGTCACTCCTTAAACAGTCTGATTAGATAAGAACTCTCCCCCAGTAAAGGTTGTTGTAAATGTTGTAAAGTGTGCTGGCATAATGATGGCCCGTTGCCAACATTTACGATTGCAATAGTGCCTCCCAGAAGGTGTGCTGGAATGGTTTGCTTAACGGCGAAGTTAGGAGAGCTTAGTGCAGGCTGGGCAATGCTCATTGTTGGTTTAATCACGTATTCTTTGCAATTGTTACCTCAAACCAGTAGTAATGATGTGGAGGATGTGCACAGCCACAAAGAATAGTTTCAGAAGTTATTTCCAGTTTGCGATATCCAAATCGTGATGTTTTTCAAAGCAAGAATGTTGCAGCAAGAATATTAAAACATGTACCTTTGTAGGTGCTCATTTTTAATATATTCTTACAATTTTGAAAATTAGCTGTTAAATCATAAAAGTTGCAAAATCTAATCGCTTGAATTTGGGATTTAGTGAAATCAAAATCCCAAACAAAAAAAATTGTAAAAAGTATACTGTAAATTAGTTATGATTTTTAAATATTAGTGTTTATATACTGATTGATATATAGCTCATTAACAGAATACAAGCATTAAGGTCTCTTCATTTTATTTGACAAAAATGCAATTTATAGTTTTCAGACTTGGTTGGATTCTTTTAAACTTTTTCAGCAAAGAGAATTGACATTGAAAGAAGGCAAACTTAAACCCACTGTGCACAAGCTGACATAATGGAGACTGAGTCTGATTATTGATATTGATGGAATTTATATCTTGATACTCTATAGTATTAGAATTTAGGCAGTACTTTACATATCAGAATACACAACAGCCTGGTCAGATTCTTCTTTGTTTTTTCTGTACATTCTCAAATTGAAGTGACCAAACTGACAAAGAAACATAACTCCAGTACCATATATGATTTAAAATCAAGTGACAGTATTCATCTAAAGGAACTAATCAAATGAAACTGCTAAGATAATTGAATCAACTGTACACAAATGATTGAATGCACAAACGCAATTAAATAAATATACACTTGAGGAAAAAAAACTAACCTTGCAATATATTTGGCACTGTGCAAAAATACTGCAACAATCCTAAAAGGAAAAATATTTACCTAGTGGTGGAATCATATCCAGTTCGAGGATCTTTAAAGGTAGTGGAACGAGTGTTATGATCCACAAAATATCGAACCCCTTCACTTGTATATTTCATTTCCCAGCCAGGTGGCAGAGGGGATTCTTGGATCATCCTATGAAAACCCAATTTTAGCTCAGGTTACAGCAAATTCTTTACACAACTGCTGGACCAACAATGCGTTAGTTAATATCAACTGGCTTTAACTTTCACAACTGCACGTTGTGCGGAATAAGATCCGCAGTAAAACACTTCCTGAACAACTTTATAGGTCCTCATTTTTTTTTCCAGAAGAAACTATACTCATCGAGCCAGTAGGGGGCAGTAAGGCAACGATTAGTGATCGGGCAATGGGGTGGGGTCCAGGCCACCATGGGCTCTCAAGACGTTTAACCCTTTGAGGACTGCAGTAGCATTCCTGCACCAAAATAAAAATTATAACATGAACACGCGATTTTTTTTGTACATCCAACAACGAGAGTTCAGAAACTTATCTCCGCCTCATTAACTTCAGACTATAACACGGCTCCAAAAATGTGCAGCAAAATATCTTCAAGCGTTATGTAAAAGAAAAGCTGTGTATTTCAAACTGCAAAGAGGTAGAGGAGTTAAGAAATCAGTAAGCAATGACCTTTTTTCTGTAACACAAGTACAAGAAAGTTATCAGTTTTAGACGCCAATTGACTTGCTGAGTATTTCCGACATTTGCTTTATTGCATTATTTCAGATTTTAGCATTTGCGGTTTTCCTTTCAAGCGCTCCAGAATCCTACCCCGTGAAGGGCGCTATATAAATGCAAGTTGTTGTTGTTGCGTTTCCAATTCATTTCTACGTTCTGCTGAAACTGATTACACACAAGACAGGAATTAGTATAAATTGTAAATAAATAGTGACGTTTTTATGGCCATTTTGAAAACGCAGGCTGGCTAGTGTGAGAATTACAAATGTCAGATTGGCGTAGGAGGAGGTGCTCTCCTGAGATTAGCATTGGTTGCATGACAGAGTAGAATACGATTTACTCTGTAACTGACTCTGCTATGCCTGACCTAAGAATACTGAGACAGCGTGCTTAAAATAGGAGTTTCATTCCCCAGCAAACCCTGCAATGAAAAGTGTGAAACTGCATCCAAGATGTTTTCTTTTTTTAAAAAAAAACATGCGCTCTGGAAAAAGCTACATGCACATATTTAATACGTCTGGAAATGTGAATCAAATGATTTCTAATCATTTGGTCGGAAAAATCGACCTTCGCAAATGAAAGACGCATTTCTTGACCTAGTGAGCGTGCGTTTTCCACAGGATGGGCAGCATCAAGTCTTCCATTACTCGCACCAGTGGTAAAAGTTTGCCACACCCAAATACTGTACAGTACTGCAGTTTTCTCTCATGGCGGAGATTTTTTTTAAAAAAAACACAGGATTCAAATGTCCACCAGCGAGTGGCATACGTTGTGGGAGCTATTCCTACTGCTCAAGAAATGTGGTGATACTGGTTGCTTGAACCTAAACCTTGAAAGATTGTTCCTCCAATCTTGTGCTCAGTATCACGACATCTGGCTCAGAAACTTGTCCCCAGTCAGTCCAGGATTCAAGAGGAGAAAGGAGAACTGTTCAATGGGTAAGAAGAGACGTCTAATATGGCCGTTAGGCAGCTGCAATTGAGTGAAATCAGAGCTCTTCAGAAAGTACAGTATTAACTTGGCCAATGTGGGATGAGGCAGTGCTTTCAATAAAATAAAAATCATACTTTTAGATTATCAAAATTTGAAACTATGTATATAAGTATAGATTTATTGCAGTCTACTAGCTGGGAAATTGAAGCTGCTATTAAGATCTTTCCCCAGTGGCTTTGCAAATAAGGCAAAGGTTAGCAGAATAAAACATTTAAGATGTATGAGCATAAAAAGAGAAAAAAAAATCTACCACCACAAATATTTTTCGATTTAGACAAATAACAACTGTTGATTAGTTAGAAATGCGCAAACGCGTAGCAATGCCTATGACATAGTTTTGCTGTGCTGTCATAACTGTGCTTTCTGTTTCCCCAGATTCCTGCCAGGCAAATTGAGATAACCATATTTTTTTTGCTGGCAATTAGAACTAATTGGTTGCCATTTGGCTGACTGTCAAATTCAAGCTTTAAACCCAACCATAAATGCTGCAAATTAGTAAACTAAGACATTGACCCCTTTTATTCAACTGTTAATTGTTATAGACTCGACTTTTCTTAGATATTATCACTTAAATGAAGGTTACAAAAATTGGGAGTTCCCACGGGAGTGTTTTTTGTGGCTATTTTACTTCCCNTTTTTAAAAATGTTGCTTCCCTGGATCCCCACCTACTTGTTTTTCTATTCAGAAAGGACAATGTAATAATGTAATTGGAGCTATAAAGCTAAAGCAAGTTATTATTCTACATAACAGTCACATATTGGTAATATATGCCATTCATGTGGCACTCATGTGCCATTAATGCGTGAAGGGCATAAACTTTCTTCTGAAAGTGGAGCCTTCAAGATTCTTGGGTGTGGCTCTCTGATAACTTGGCCAAGTGCCAATCTTTTGGGGTTTCTCATGACAGATTGCAATAATTGTTTTTAAATAAGATTGGAATGTGAGCTGCTTTAATTGAACAATTTATACAGCATGTACTTTTTTTAACACAGCAGTTTTAAGTGCTCATGGGGAATGTGAGGTAGAAGTTTTGAGAAGAAATTGTACTAAGACACAAAATGATTTCCAGAAGTATCAGTTTTGAAAGGAACCCATTGATCAACAAAGCAATTACGCTGAAAATCTACTTCTTTTTGATTTTTTTTAGCAAATGGATTAGAGATCTTAGCTTAATTTATACCAGTTGTTTTGTTAAAACTGTATTCTGGTTAAAGGGAGACTTGGCCGTAAACTTTCATTATCATTAGTTCAGAAATATTATAATTGTCTAGATAACTCCTGGAAGCTGATGTGTATGACTCCAGACACAGATAAATATATATGTAGCAGTAACGGACACCCACCATCCTAGCTGAGAAGGTAATAAAAAATTTCCAAGACTTATGCCATTGTTGCAGTCAGACCAATCTCTTTACTATTTTCCTTCCTTCCCTGTGGAGACCCAGTGGCCTTTGCTTGGCACCCTTCCATGAAAGATTAGGAATTTAACATGTGGAAATTGATGCACAACTATATAGTCTGGTAGTCTGGCACAATCGAGCTATAATTGATTAGAGCCCAAAATCAGCCTTTCGCCCACTAAAGATACAATTAATTCACTATACAGTATATTCTGTGAAGTGCTTTGAGACATCTCGAAGATGTGATAAGGTGCTATATCAAATGCAAGGATTGTTATTATTATTATCTTTATTATAATGCAAACAATTAAGCGCATTTGTGTTAGAGAAATTAAATACAAGATGTTAATTGACGACATTAAAGAATTAATGTTAGCTGCTATTAGGATTAAACATGTCAGAACAAAAGTGAAAATAAGTTTAGCACAACAAAAACTGTATTGAGTAGAGAAGAGCTAGTTTCATAACCAATATTCATACTTGAAAGAACATTTATTGATTAGAAATGGGATTAATTCCTTTCAAAATTCAGGGAGTTGAGCAACAGTAGATTTTTGTTCTGTGTGGCTTCATGGTACACTATGAACAGAATTTGTGAACTTTTCTTGAATAGGTTGGTTAACCCTCTTTCTCCTTTTAGTCCCTCCGAGACCACACACCTCCTATAGCTGACAGGCTGGAGTCAAACAGCCTTCTCCTAGGCCAATGCCAATGGTGCTCTTGGGAACCCGCCAGGAGGTGTACAAGAGCAACACGGTGCTCGATCCTTTCTGCAAAGAGGCAGGTGGTCTTATCTTGGAACCTGACTGTGCCAAACAAAGCTGGGAATGGGACTTTAAGGTGGAATTTAAAAAGATATCCAACCCCTCCTGGTGCAATACCATGTGTTGGTGCTCCAATATGCTGAATTATTTTACCTTTCATTCTGTTTAGTTCATTTAACTAACCTCCTTCCAATAAATGTTGACCATTTCTAAGTCATTAGATCTTCCTACAAAGATTCTCAAAACACACAAAATTAACCCCGTACCATTCACTGCCCTCCTAAATAGTGCTGAGTTGGTGTATTGAGACACCAAAGTATTCAACAATGACCAGAGAAGCCCGTATAATTCTCTATAAAGTGACCTTCTGATTTTGGCAGTATCAAGCAGATGCCAGAATCACCTCCAGGTTTAGGTGGTGGGAGGTTAGACGATCTATCGCAGGACAAATATCTCCTAGTGTATATTGACTGCTGGAAAGTAAAAATAATAATAATAATAATCCTTCCATTTGATATAGCACCTTACCATATCTTCTAGACAACTCAAAGCGCTTCACAGAATATACTGTAAAGTGAATTGACTGTATGTTTTGTGGGTGAAAATTATGTGTATCCTAAGTGAACAAAGAAATGAAAGAGAAAAACAAATGATGATTGAAACAAAAGTAGTAAAGATTTTTTTAAAAAAAAATTCAAAGAAGATTTAACGGAATCTATAACAGAACTGACATGAAGAACAAAGCAAATGACCTAAAGCAAAATAATTAATGAGGACATTTTAAAATTAGTGGCATACAGATTTGTATTACAAAGGCACTTTGGTTGGAGATAATGACCATTTGCATTAAAGAGCAGCACTGCAAAATAATGTCAGTCTGTTGTACTGGTAAGTTGTGTGGGTTTAACCCCACATCCATTTATTAACTATTTTGGATCCATATCTTACCCTTGAGTCCTAGGGTCTTCCCATTGGGTGGTCCGAGTATTGTGGTTGACAAAGTAAACCCGTCCATTATCCTGGCGCTTCTCTGGAAAAAAAATTAACAGGCACTATTTACTTGCGTAATATATATATATATATATATATCAGCATCCATACTCTGTACGGGACCTCATTTTATTAAATTCAATCGGTTCATCTGTGGACCTGTGTTTTTAACGAATCCAAATTAAACTAGTGTTATTGAAATTCTACTGAAGTTTTTTTTAAATATCAAGAAAATATAGGCTATTACTAGATCTGTAAGTAGTAGATTGAAGCACCAGTGAAGACCTTAGCCTCACACTTTGATGTCATATGTCATATAAGTCCCAGCATAAGTTGATAGCCAAAGCTATGTATGAGGGGTCTCAAGTGTCAAATTTGGACTGCAGGGTGGCATATTCCTTGGAGAAAAATAGATTCCATCTGTTTCAAGAAAAAAGAGCTTTCTTCGAGGCAATGTCACTCAACAGCACCAGTCACAAAGTAACTGAGCAAAGTCTGGAGCAGAAGTGGATGTAAAAGATTATTCCAGAGGATAAAAAGCAAATGGAATTTATTTGTTTTCACAACCTGGAAAAATACTGTATTCAAGCAGTTTAGACAAGCTATTTTTCTGAGCTGAGGATGAAGGTAGTTTCTGTCCTCCATTTGAATTCCTCTGACAGTCTGTTAATAACTTTCGTCAAAATTTTAATTGAATAAATAACGATCTCACGCGCAAAGAAACAACCATTTTACTTGGGAGTTGTGGCGAAAGGAAGGGGAAAACATACTTTACTATGAAAACACAATGAGACAATTAAAGCTCTGTAGGCTGGCCAACCAACAATGAAGTACTGCACAGTGGAAAATAGGGTTTCTGTATACTGGCGAACACTTCTTCCTGCCTCTTTTAAGGTATGTCGGCCTCTGGGAACATTTAGTATTTAACATTGAAAACAAATTAAACATAAATTAATAAATTATTCAGCCCAAAAAGTGATTGAAAAAGCTGTCATCCATTATGACACTCAATTCAGCCAAAGTATATTCCTTCTTTATAAAAAGAGCTTTGTTTTTTTTAAATTCTCATGCTTTTAATTAAAACCAATCAACTCCAGATGGCAATCAACCACTAAAAGTCTTTAATTGTTAACAATCTCCAGAACCATTTTTGAGCTGCTACAAATAGTAACACAGCCAATCTATGTGGCTGAAATTATTTATTAAATCTTTCCCACTGCTTGATTTAGATTATCAAGTTTGATCAGACATTCACTTGTACTGCTGGATGAAGTGAGATAAGTTGTTCCATTGCGGTGGGGGGCGGCAGGGGTTAGAATAGGAGATACTACATCAATTCAGACTACAAAGTACTATTTTCATCCTTTCCTGTGGTGCCATTGGTAAATAAAATTTTTAAAAAGTTATGACATTTTGAGCTGAAATCCAAGTTATGAAAATTATGATTTATAGTAACTTGCATCAGTGGTAAGAGATCCATCATAATACAGAGCCAAAAAGACATTCCACAATGTTACGTGAATGATCATATATGCATCACTGAATCAATATGTGAGTCTCTATGTGCAAACGTTTTCATGAGATTGGTAGAGCATAAATTTACAGTCATGACTTTCACATGCCATTCTCCCAATATCGCTCATGTTGCCCTAGTTAACAGCCAAGCAGATGTTTTGGTACTTTTCAACTGAGAAGAAATGAAATATCGAAGGGACAAACCCCATATCGCACCCTACCCCCACTCTTCCATCTCAATTACTCTCAGCCCCCTTCCCACCCAAGCTGCTCTCAGGGACCGCCTAGGGGAAGGTTTGAACAGAGGCTGGAAACACGTCACTCATCTGTCCTTGTCAGCCATGAAAGGTGTAAGTAATAGGGTCCCAAAACATCCCCAATCCCAAACTACACTCAGTATCTGCTTCAGTGCTTCTGGTGCCATTAGTTCAAAACAACAGGATAATTGATCACTTGCACACGTACAGTAAAGGAACACATTATTTGCCTTTTCTAGCACCAACAATAACATCTCTTATGGCAAAAAGTAGCAATTGTCATAAGCATCATTAAGACCATGCTCAGGAGTAAAGAAATATTATCACTATATGAATACTGCACATTAGGTTTTCATAAGGTTACCATTATATAATAGTCTTTTTTGCAAAGGGCTTCAACTTTTTGGATGTTATGTGAAAGATAAATGCAAGTTGAACTTATTAAGAATAATCCTTATATTTGCATTTAGCAACAGATGCTCATAATAATTTTGCTATTGAAGACAGCCCAGCACTGCTGATATCTCGTGAATACAATAAATTGCATTTAACGTGGGAAAGACTTCTCAAGGAACTGAATGGATGACATGGGATGTTTGTGGGGCGGATGTATCTTTTGTCAATTAAATGACATGCTACTAAACATTACCACTACAAAATCAATCCAATTTTGTCTAACATTTCATGCTAGACATTTCGAATTAAAGGTAAAAAGTACACCACAGTGTGAAACCACATAACGTGTCAAGTGGAAGATTTCGCTGAATAATTCATGAATGATTTTCTGCTACTTTACGCATTTCTTGGGAAGTTGAAAAGAGAAAAAAAGGAAAGCAAAAAGGGAAGCAAAGTACCCCAAAAATAATTTCCTTTTTAAAGTGGAGAAATCATTTGTATGACCAGAGGCACACGAGAGCTGGTATCAAAATTTGCCAGTATTGACGCAAAGCAAATGATTAAGAAATTCAGCCCAGAGAATAATAATAATTTCTACTTACCCCAGCCAGGTACCAGAGGTCCGAGTGCATCACTATCAGTAGGAATTCCAGAGGACTATAATGGGGAGGGGGAAGAGAAAGAAACAGAAATCCAGCACACTGTTACAGGACAGAATGGTTAACCTTTCAAAAATCGCATCGCATTGTAATTTTTTTGTAGTTTTCCCGACTGGTCTCTTCATTTTTCAATCAATCTATAGCACTTATTAGCTGCAGAAATCTTCAGCTTTCAATACAAGCTGTAGAGAGATAGAGGCTTTCTAAAGCATTTCATGCCCAAATAGGGCACAAAAACCCAGCAGGAGAGTTTTAAACTTACTCACAGAAGGAGTTATAAAACACTAAGAGTGCCGATGCTATACTGCGACTGTTGGCTCAGGCAGCCAAAATTGCACTAGTGCTGCTGTGCGGCTTTCTTTCCAAGATCTACACAGAAATCAAAGACTGTTCTAATGAAATCATTACCGCAGTGCTGTGTACGCCCAAGCTTCCTGCCTGAAATGTGCGCTCAACCCTTCTCAATGTGCTGTTAATGTAAGCAGTACTCTGCTATGTAAATTATAACTGAAGGGACATTCATGTTCTTTCCAGACAGACGCCCTTTCCCACTATGAATGTTTTATTCATGGTCACAAAAGCACCTTTATCCTGAATGTAAATGAATGGCAATGAAGCGGCTGCTCAACCCCAACCAAGCTGTGTAGCTCAGAGTAAAGGAAACTGATCATGACTAATGTTTTGGTATTTACATTACTAGAAAAGTTATGTGTCAAAACTACTTGGCACGTGAGCTGAGAAGAGCCACTTTTCACTCCTTTTGCAAATTTTCCATCACTCTTACAGATATTCCACAACCAGCAATGAAGCAGTCAATGTGTTTTGAGTTTCTCCAATTAATTTCTGAACATTTGATGCAAAGTCTCCACAATTTAGAAATATGACCGTGTATTTGAAATAGCATCTAAACACTGGTGGTAAGAAAACAAAAGCAATGGTGTTGGTTCCATAGCTTGAGTATCTGTTTCACAACCGGGACATCTTCAATTTGAATGCCCAGGACTACTTTATTTTAAAATACATAAACTGTGTTTTTATTTTTCTAAGAGTTTCCCTAATGCCTCTCTCTTCCTCTGGCTGGGGAGCAGTCCCAAGGCCACATGCCAGCTGCCCTCTGGTACACTACCCAATATGTGAGCCTTCACAGTGAGTGTCGGTAGACAGGCCACTGCACTGTAGCAATATCCTCTTTCAAGAAGTACTCAACCAGGATCACCATGCTCTCACAGAAGATGTATAGTACAGCACAAAACCAAAAATCATGGCTGCAATGCAAACCTAAGCAGTAAAGAACCCCCATTTTTCATTAAATCTAAAGAGATTTACAAATATAACATATGAACTTATACTTTCTTATGAAATTATACACAAAATACTCAGAAGTTTGTTTCAGTTCTAAATTCTAGAATAGCACAAATATTATCGGTTGTACAAAATTAAGGCGCAGTTAAGTTCAATATGGGAACAGTCTGACAATGCTATAGTATAGACAATTCCAACTGATGGCTGAACCCTCTTTGTTTATCATCCAAGCCAGTGAGCCAGACTGAATCAGCATTAGAAAAGTAAATGGGTTGGAAAAACTGTTTTATTTGCTCTGGTAAAATATTGCATCATCTGAGAATGGATGTGTAACCAATTGTGACTTAAATCAACCCCTTTAAAAACGTATTTTTCTCATTACGCACAGTTATTAATGGTTGTGCTCAGCTGTACATTATTAAATTACTGAAAAAAAATCTAAGTTTCAAACAAAATTTAAAAATAAATCAAGTAGGGTAAATCTAAGTTTCAAAATGTAGTTGTGCCTCTTACTGGATAAAGAGCTGCTTTTACAAAAAACATACAGACTTTAGCCTGCATAGAAAGGTGCCTTACATATGCTGAAACACTGAAAGCCTATAACCACTTCAGGTTTCAATTTTCGCTGAAAACATTTTTTTCCCCAATTGTCTCAGTTACCGTCATTATGTTTTTATTAAAAAAGTTTCTCATGTACCTTCACAAATCGCACACTGTTCACCAAAGAGAAATAGACATTTGTACGGTTAGCTACAGACTATTTTTGTAAGTCCATGTGGCTAAAATATTGGTAGTTGTGCAAGTTCCAAATGATTACATTTTCAACCATTTAGCCTCTACCCCATAAGAAATTGAAGAAAGAGCCAAACATTAAGAAAACTAGATAGAAATCATTTGTTTTGTATGTTACAGACTCAGTCAGGTTTTTTTCTATTTGCTTATAAAAGCAATGATACAGACCAGCACATAGAAAGAAATCAGAGCTAAGATTTAAATTTAGAATTTATGGACTTTCCAAACTTTCCAAAAAATGGGTAAAGAAATGGACTGGCAGCGGGCCCCGGTTCAAGATGACTTCAAGATTCAGGGAGAAAATCTTCAAGTTATTTTTCTGGGACAGAGAGAAAAGAAAGAGTTCTACAAAAATATTCCAACTATCTTTAGGAAAAAAAACTAAACTTCTTTTAAATCATCTAACATTCTGAAGATTATTAATGCTGTACCATTTGAGCTCTGTATCTAAAAATACAAGACATAATTTTTCTATTTCCTTTTACATGTACCATGAATAGTTTTACATGTACCACAAATAGGAATAAACCCCAAGAGCTCTGTACTTTCTCATTGTACAGTACTTTGTAATATCCAGCAGGAATTTTCTCAAAATACCATTTTGGGTAAAAATCTGATGGAAAAGGAAGTCATTCAGAGCCTGAAAAATGATTCACCCTGAAAGCTCAAATAGTTCTGAATTGCAAAAGCATAATGGTTATTTATCTTAAAGCTAACTCTGCTTTCTCCAATACCCAGGAAACCTGAAAATAAGTGATCAGGTCTAGTGACAGCAGAGACCTTTTTTTTAAAACTTGAATTTTCTCAGTGGGAATACCCCCAATGTAGCACTAGCCAGAAAACCACCCACATACAGACTACCTACTGCATAAGATTATGTACATGCTCATTATTTTTTGAAGTTGATGTACAGAACAACAGGACATATTGTTCTCTGAATAAAATGAGAAAACTGAAATCCTACCCTTTACAGTTTGAGACAAGTTTAAAACATTTTTGCTGATACAAAATGGAATCTTTCATTTGTTTTCTAAATTATATTTTGTTGCAGTAACATTCACTTTTCCAATAGGATATATGAGGGTGCAGGGGCTTAAAGATTGAACATTTGGACCTTTTATGAATGCAGATGACTGTGAATAACCACAGGTTTATTTTACATGATTTTGAAAGTGAACCTTTGTGAATTTACTGAAAATGTGGTTATACCTTAGCTTGAATAGGTTTTCAACATGGTCAAAATATTTACACCAAATGAATACCATTTTTCCTGGAATATTCTCAAAAATCGCTGAAATGAAGATTAAATCCAAAAGACAAAGTTAAAAAAAAGTTTTAAAAAATTGTATACGGCAATCTGACGAACACAATTGATTTTTAAAAAGCTGGGAAGGATAACAGTACAACTATATCTTTCTGGCAATCAAATTATTGTGAAGTTTTGAAAAAAACTGGATCTGTGATGGAAGCAAAGACAATAGAACAACTAAATGAACACTGAAGGAAATAAATTATCGGTGTTCAGTAAACAGAAAAGTAAATTATAAATTTATAAGAATGCAGCGAAAAGAAAAAGAGCGAAGCCGGTAAATAAAATGCTGGAAAACATTTTCATCCAACAACTTGAACAGAAATATCAAGAAACAGAGCAATAAGAAATGATAGTCATCACACAAGAGATACTGAACTTGAAAAGAGGTCAAATAGAGAGAAAGGTAGAATATCTGCAGCAAATAATCGATAAGATTGAAAATTAGGCTTATCTTATTAAATGCATTCAATTAATGAACAAGGACAAGTTTCACTGTTTGCATAACCTCGAGGAAAGGATTGAATAATAATCCTTGCCTTATCACACCTTTGAGAGGTCTCAAAGCGCTTCACAGAATATATTGTAAAGTGAATTGACTATTTTTGTGGGCGAATGAGTTGTAATGGAGGAAAAAATGTGACAGCCATAGCTTTCCACATGGTACTCATGAATTTGGTGGTGAATAGAAGACAATACTCTTCCTCAGAGAGAAATATAGGAAGTGGAATAAGTCTCAGGTCACCTTCACCAACCTCCTTGTGTAGAGGGTGGCAGAGATTCAGAAGACCAACCGCCCACTTTCTGAGCAATGAATCCATTAGGGCACAACAGATCTCAGGTACAGGAGAACCTATACTACAGCGATTATGCACGGCACAGTAACCCACAAAATTCTTTGAAGTATATGAAAGGAAACTCAAGATTCTTAAGGCTCCGAAATAAAAAATGTGTAAGCTAGGAGGAAACGAAAGGAACGATAACAACCGTCTCTTCTTACCTGGTACAAAAATCTTTGGTTGAAATGTTGCATAGCTCCCTGCAGTTGATTCCTCTGGGATTGCCACTGCTCAAAGTTTCGAACAGACTCTGCTGTTGGTCTCTGCCATGTCGTTGTCCTAGTGTTATGGTCCACATAGTAAAATCTGCCACGTTGATCGACTCGTTTCTCCCAGCTTTAAGGAACCACATGCAGTAGTCAAGTTATAGATCGAGTTACTCACAGTACTGTAATTTAGTCACTGATAACTAGGACCATGTTTCAGGCCAATTTCATAACATAAAACGGTGTGCATTATATGTAAAGGCATAGCAGTGTTTCACACAGCAATTGATATCAGTTATCGGTCAATATTTGAAAATTAAACAGCTATTGTTTGTATCTCTGTATATTTCTGACACCTAGTTCATTTCCTTGTTTATCCCTTGTATATCCCTGGTGGTTTCTGCATAAAATCTGAAGCATCTTTGAATGAACCTGGTTAGATAACAGCAGAGAATAAATCAGCTTGTGCAGCCATATGTTAATCGGAATAATTCCAAATGCCGCAATACTTCACTTGAGGCTAAAAGGAGCAGAGTAATGTTCTTTTTGATAGAGGCCAAAGGCCATGTTGATAAAATAACCAGGTACCACCCAAGGCGGCTATAGCAGTCTAACTCTTGCAGTTGCTTGGTGTCAAAAATATGTACTAACAACGATTTCCCAACCTAATGTTTAATTTTTGATGGAAAAATTAAAAATCTGCACTTACTTTTGTCCAAAATGATAACATATTTATGCAGCAGACACAGTTACATTGATGTAAGAGGCAACTACTTTAAACTAATTCCATCAAAAAATCCAATCTTTCCCCCAGAAGTTTTATATTTTGGAAATAACATCTTGAAAGCTGATCTAAATTTACCCTGGTGGGAGAGGTCTTTCCCATGTCGTCGTTTTCGTGTTATGATCCACATAATATATCCTTCCATTGGGAAGCACTCGCTGTTCCCATCTGAAAGAAAAGCATCCATCCAGTCAAAACAATATTGCAATATTAAATATGTTTTAATATCTCTATTGAAAAGTTAAACCAGATGTTTGTTAAAACCGTGGCTTGTCTAGTCGAGCAACGAACGAGTTCTAATCCACAGGTGATTAGAGATTATTCTCATTGTATACATTAGTAAACAGATACCCACATTTTAACCTTCTTTCTACATCTATATATATTATTCTATATATATATATATATTATTCTATATATATATATTATTCTATATATATATATTATTCTCTATATATATATTATTCTATATATATTATTCTATATATATGTATAAATATATGCCCACACATACTCCATGCTGACAAAGCAGTGCTAGGAGTGTGCTGCATTATCGGAGATGTCATCCTTGGGATAAAATGTTAAACCAAAGTCCATGCCACTCTCCTCGACCCCCTCCCTCATCCACCTCAGTGGTACTACCCTCTCCTGTTTCAAATCCAACTTGACCCACCACCAACACTTTGTTTCTTCTAAACGATTTCTCCTCCCGCCCCTGCGAGGTCACCTGTGGTCTGCCGCAAGGCTCTATTCTCTGCCCCTTCCTTTACTTTTTCAATTTCGTATTCTAATTGTTGGAAATACAAATGGTCTTCCAAGATTTTCATATATGTTCAATGTTTTTTTACAAAGAAAATGTAAATCCTTAATTTTATATGAAGTAGTTGATTATCCTTCTAGTGAACATTTCCAGATTTTTTTGCATGTTACTTCTGTACTTTATGAAAATTTTATTTAGAATATTAGGGGGCATTTGAATGGTCCCACATTGTGGATGCTTTCGTTAAAGACAGGCTTCTCTTTCACATCAGTCACTAAGAAATTCCAAACACACTGGTACAGCCTGAAGGACCAGAAAAAGTAAACCTGAATGAAACGCCTGACAGACACCAATACACAGGTGACTTTGTTTTATATTATAACCATTGCAATTTATCGTTTTTTTCCTCTGATCAATTGAAAACTGCAGCACCATCAACTTCCCACATTTCTCACAGCAACACAATCGAGAAAGCAAATTTGTCATTGTTTTGTCATGTGTGAACATAGCACAGTACATTCTTTACACATTGTGCAGATAAATACATTTTGCAAGACCAGTTATCCTATTCCAGACTAAAAACTAACGTGAAACATTGCTGCTTGAGGAGCAACTTGCTAACACTAACAGTTTATAAAAAGGTGCAGATTATGCCTGAGACTGAAACGTCCCTTGTCTGAGCTCATAAATGGACTAGTGTACATCAATCCCAAAGGCATGTTTACCAAATGTTATTTCCACGCGCTATTTTCTCTCCGTAAAATGTCTTCAAGGTCACGATCTTACAAAGTTAAAACTATGAAAATTAATACATTAACACTTGAAATAATTGAGTAACATTAATACTAGAATCAATCATTTTTAAATCATTCTGTTGTCTGCATAAGACCAATGGGTGACCAAGGCCTTAACTGGCAGTCGCAGCATTATGAAAATTAAATAAAACATAAAAGGCACAGAAAAAAAAATCTTATTTGGCTTCATGGTTTTTCTGCAATAATTTTCTGAAGAATTCATACACGACTTTAAGGAAAATAAGCTAATACCCACATTGTGGGCATCATGAAAGACCTGAGCTATATGGAATGTGATGGTATAAGAAGTTTTTATTTACTAGTGCACTGATCCATCTTTTTAACCACAGTAAAAAATGTTTGACAACCTCTCAACTAACTTCATTTGATTTTGGCAACACAGACACTTTATTCTAGAGTGTTAGTGGGAAAAGTGCCCTACTTTATAATGGTGTAGGGGTGTGCAGGGAGAGAGAGGGTGGGAGGAGAGGGGATAGAGAGGGGGAAGAAGGGAAGGGAGAGAGGGAGGGTGAGAGGTGAAGTGAAAGGGATGGTGGAAGCGGGAGAGAGACATTCAATGTTTCTACAAAAAGGATAGCAAGTAATCATTGAAACATTCAAGATGCTTTGGCATAAATCAATGTTTAATATTGCTGACATCAGTCTAGGGTGATATGAGCATCCTGATAGTAATGAATAAATGAATGTTGACTGAATAAAGAAATATAATTGTTTTAAACCCTCAAGCTTCTTTGGATATAAGACTTACCTGTAAGAAAGAGTCTTTAGTTACTTCACTCAGCTATTGCTGCTCAGGCTGCTGCTGGCAACAGTACACCTTTCAGGCAATTCAGTGCTTGCTTTTCCTGAATGACAATACTAATTTACCTTTAGTTTCCTGTAGCATGAATACAGTAGTTCTAAATTCAGTATTCTAGGCCCAGGCATCTGAAACTCATTTTGAATGGTAAGCTATAAAGCTGCCGAACAAAGGGACCATTTTTTAAGAAAAATTCTCTTGTGTGTTGAATCGATTAGTCCAAAAGACTTCTCCTATGCAACACACCGGTGCCCAAAATGCTTTGCTCTGTAACACATTAAGTAGAGCTACTCATATGGAAACGATGAAAGAATTTGATGAGTGTCTAGTTTTCATGTTTCGAAGAATTAAACGGTTCCATATCTGTTGGATTTTACATGACACTGAAATGTGAAAGTGTTTTCTGGTATGTCAAACGTTCCTCGATTAAACATCCAATTTTTCTACTGTATAAGCATCCTCATTTTACGAATTAGTGCTGCACTACAATTGCAAAACTGCAGCGTTCAGTGCTCAAATTCAAGAACTGCAGAGCTCTGTGCTTTAAGAGAAGGGTAGTTTATCCAGTCAAAACTTTTGACTAAACACTGAGAAACTGAACACGCAGCAATAAGTTTTAAATCACAAGTAAATGGGCACACACATAAATTCACACTGTGCAGAAAGTCAGTAAAGATAACACAAAATGAATACAAACACAGATTACAGCCACAGTTTATTTCCAAGGAACCACTTGCTAAGCTTTATAACAGTAAAGGCAGCATCAGCTCCACAGACGACTGAATAAAAGATCCTTTGAGACTAACTGCAGAAACTGAGGTTTGGGCAGTGTGAGCCAGGAAGTCGACAACGAGGAAAACAGTAACCCTCACACACACATCACATAAAGGAACACTGATTTTTAAACAGCGGTAATCTGTGACTACTGTATGAGGCCTGCTCTGGCTTTAGAGTATTGGTTTCATAATAAAATAAACCTTCTGTGTCATAATAATTTAGAATTTCCTCAGACAAACTCGCTTTTGAACTCAATATAACCCTATCATTCAAGTGAACTAGTTTAAAAAGAAAACCTTATGCACATTAATAGCAAGGTTCACAGTATACAGAGAAATATTTGTTGTGCCCACCGAAGGCATAGAGATGTACGCACTTCTCTGTTCAACACTCATTCTTTTTTTCCTTTCAAAAATGAATTATAAATTTAGAAGTTGGATCAATATTAAGTTTTGAAGTGCTTTTTTTAAAATTCCAGTAAGCAAAATACATTGCAGATAGAGCAACAGTGAGAATTAGATGTAAAAATAGGCATATTGGACAAGTATGGCTTTGAATTTCTCCTGAGGTTATGCTGGCAATGGAAGTCGTCCCTGTTCTATAATCATACTGAAAATGAAAATTATAATTTAAATTAGTAAATAACCAACTGAGCTACAAGGACACTATTTAAATGCGTCAGTAAAGGTCTAAACACATTCTGAAATCATGAGGGCAATGCAATGATGCAGTAATATTACTATGTCTGACCAACATGCTGAGTTAGCACACAAGGAGACGTAGATTAGATGTCAAAATTGAGAAGAAAATAAGCTCAGTTTGTAATGAAATTACAGTATTTCCAGAATTTTTAGCATCGTGTCAAGTGTAATTTTTAAAAAAAATGTTTTCCAATCTCTTCGTTGGAATATAACTCTTAGATTAGAAAGTCATTGGACTGGTGAATGAACAGAGGATACTTTATGCTCAAGGTTTATAGCAAGGGGTAAATAAAGATAATTGACATCTGCAACTGCAGTAGAAATCAGCATAAAAACAGATTTATTTAGTTCCAGTCTTGGTACTGATCCACCAGATTCATGCAGAATCCTCAAACCTAGTTTAATAACAAGACTTCACTTCAAGAAGTTTCATTTCTTCCACTTACAGTAACTGAGGCTCTTGAAACATAAACTGAAGAGGATGTGGTAGTTCTTCTGCAGATACAGCACATCCTATATGAATTTTGGAAGATTTGCCCCGAGGGGAATGGTGCTTGGAAGAGAACAAGTGGGATGATTTTGAGCCCTTGGCTGCCTGATACACACATAATTTCATTACCCAACAGGATATTCTGGTCTATTGCATCCTTAAGGAAATACTTTTTCCAACCTTTGTTGAAAGTTTGACAAAAGATGCATAATATGAAACTGTGGTCAACTGGCAGACACTAGAGACTCCAGACATTACCAACTCATTGATGGCAGCAGAGTTTTCTTCCATGTCAAGACCATTTTAAAGATGGGAGCTATCATACAATTCTCAAAACTTGAGTTTTTAAACATTAACTTCTACCAATTGTTGGTTATGTACGTATGTATAAAGAAGAGATGCCATGAACACTGTCATAAGGTTTTCACTGAAACAAACCAATTTACAAAGTCCATGGGATTTCTTTCACACTTGTGAGGATCAATACAAATGAACAAACAAGAGCAAACAGGCACAGTGCAAGGTAAATATTGAGCGCAGGAAAGGGAACAGCCATGTGGTGAAAAACAAGAATGTACCCTCTCTTAAATGGATAGCTGCCCAAAAATATTCCACTCACCCAGCGAGGCTATTTTTGAGCCAATACACAATGAAAATGGAAAACAGTTGATGAAGTTTGCAGATCAGGATAAAGGTCTATTTTTAGTGCTCTCTAATGTAAGTGAAAACTCTAATCAAATGCATTTTGAACAAATTTAAGGAATAATGCCTACCATTTATTGGCAGGCAAAATCTTGTTCTTCAACAAGTGGTGAGCACACAGTACACCTTTTAATCATTGAATTGGTTAAATTAGAAATGCGTCTGATTATCTCCCAAAGCCCTTTAGTGAGGAATTAAGCCCTACTTGCTCCTGACAAACATCAACAATTAATCACACTCAAAACTATTTCAACATCAAAAAGTCTCTTAACAAAATTATATTAAAAAAAGCATTCAAACTTAAGTTAGTATTTGCAGCTTTGTTTCAATTGTGTCTAAGGAAAGCATAAGAAACTCCAGGCTTCTGTCTTCACATTGTTGAACCCACTGCCTCAAGTATAGTGGAGTGATACTATTGGTCATTTCTGCTCAATGAGTCCAAAGATTTAAATTCCAACGTCAACATTTAAACTTACTTTTTTTGCTGAGCCACAAGATGGGAGTATCTCAAGATTGTACAGATAATACATTGGGTGAAAAACAAGTGTCCTTCTTGTCAGCTGAGAAGTGCTGACTACAGACATGGTAAATGTCTGAATGTCAGACAACTCCACCCATCTAACTAAAGGAGAACAGCTTGACCCCAGGAACTGAGCAAAAAAGGACTAATGTTCTCCTCCAATGCTGCATTTTCTAAGATAAAATATAATGAGATGTCATTTTCAGTGGAATATTACTGGAATTATTTGTAGCTTTGGGTCCTGTACTCAGGAAAGTGTTTTTCTGTTCCAGTACAATGTGGTATTCATAGGTTAACTAGTTATTAAAATTGCTCACATCCTCTGAGTAATACAGGAGCACTTCTTCACCCAATGGCTAAATATGACAAGACTTCTGACATTTTTTCCATTTACTGTCGAAACCTATTAATAGACAAGTTGTTTATCTGCCAGGGAACAGTAAGGTCTGTGAAAAAAATGTTCCTATTTCCTTACCCAGGAGGTAGTGCTTCAAGGTTTTGGGCTGGTGTCTGAGACGGTTCCGTCAAGGTGGCAGCTGGTTCTGAAGTCTCTCCCACTGCAACTGAATTGGCTTGAGGACTTGGGGCAACACTGGTAGTCGAACTAGGTGCTGAGACTGCGGGAAGTGTTGGTGGGGTATCGGGGATAAAAGCATTACTCCAGCTGTCATTGTCACTTTCAGTTGAAATGGTCTCTCCATTTACTGAAATTACATGCAGATAAATACTCGTTAGATATCTATTTAAGAAGTGATATGTCTACTTTTCCTCCCCCAAGCAATTTTGCCTGTAATAAATTTACAAACATGAATAGAAATGTTCAATTATATTTCCATGTTAATCAAATGAGTAATTTATTAAGTTAGTAAAACGCTCAATTTATTATTATTTCTTCCTGTCACCACACAAAAATCAAATGCACACATAATACACTGATTCTGCTAAAACTACGAAATAATTTCAAATAATTACCCTTTATTTTTGGCTTTAGGTGCTAATATTGTAATTAAATTCTGATAGATTGCTCTAGTGCTATATATACACACAGTAATTATTTAGCAATCTTAAATTCACGTATTCATCAGTTTTAAAATAAATTCTGCTTTCCTGCTAACCAAAGGTACAGCCTATGGCATATTTCTGCATATTTTAATAGATAATGAGTGGAAATAAAAAATGTAAGGACGTTTAAGTAGACATATGCGTTGTGTATAAGAATTACATTCTTATTTACAAATGATGGGATCTGTGTAAAGCTGGAAACCAATTAACAAGTCACTGGCTCTCTGATGGAACCTCGTCACTTAATTGAAATTTAAACTTGGTTGAAATCTAGTATAGTTGAGGTAATACAGCAGTGTCATGGACTCGTGCAGTTTCAAGCCAACCACTTTTAGAAAATAAGCCAAACTCTCATCATGTTTTCTGAAATTAAAGTATACATCAGACACAAAGGTAAATACATCAATGATTGAGAACTCCAATTTTTAAACTGAAACTAGGATACCCATATCTTATTACACGTTTTAATCCGTTAGTGATGATAGCTCTCAACATTGTCTTTAAAAGCTATTGAGATGGCATGTTAGTCATGAAAAATCCTTGAGACACAATTTCTAGTACCCCATCCTGAAGAGTAAAAGTGCTTCTAAGGAAATGTTTTGGATTTTAATGAATTAATCAACCCAGCTCTTAGGTGAGGTCTGAGCATGTGCCATCAATACTTGCCTACTGCACTGGAACTTGCTGAATGTGAAGGTACCCTGGATGGATGCTTCGGTTTAGTCTTAGCACTGGGATTGTTTTGTTCCTCATTCACTGTGCTCTCTCCATTAACCACAGCTCCTCTCACAGTACTGCTGGTCTGTCTGCATGTCCTTGGTGGGGGGAAAAAAAATCTTCAAATAGGTATACATTGTTGTATGAAATGTTGTTTCATTCGTAGTTCAAACATTCCTCAGATCTGCTTTGTTGTCCTAACCAAACATTCACAGTCTACCACTGTCCTGTCAGTATTCCAAAATGATGTGCTGCTGCCTTAAGACTGTATTCAGAAAACTGCTTAAATGTGATCACATGAAATACTTTTCTTTTGTATTTTACAAATTAAAATACTGTAACTGATGCAAAATTATCTATAAATGTAACAATGTACGAACACTTTACATCACACAATAACTTTGGCAATGTTTGTATTTCCTTTGTTCTTTTGAACAATGATGATAATAATCCTTGCATTTGATATAGCGCTTTTCATGACTTCTAGACGTCGCAAAGCGATTCACAAAATATGCTATAAAGTGAATTGACTGCATATTTGTGGATGAAGCACGGCAGCCAATTGCGCACAACAGTGTCCCACAAACAGTCGTGGATTGAAAATGACCAATTTTATTATTGTTTTGTTTTTTGGAGGGATTATTAAACAATGATGATTTTATTGAGATATAGATTGTACATACTCTGAAATGAAAACAAAACTTGTGTTGGGGAATTAAACAAGCTTAACAAAATAAAGCAAAAGTTTCCTTTCTTTAAAAGTGCTTAAATCTAGACAAAGAACAGATTACAATTCACATTTCCATCTGGGATATTAGGAAAGCCTGGTATTGGGTGAGAAACAGTCCAGTGATTTTCTGTCTTACAGAATGTGACCTCAAAACTAAGATGGGGTTAATGATTGTGTTGCAAACATTTCACAGGTTATTAAACTTTCATGCTCAATTAAGAACACAAAGTATTTGAATGCAAATTTTAAAATTACAAAAATTAGCATTCACCAATTAGGAATTATTCAGTTCATTTCCAGCTGTTTTTGCACCAAATAAAAACATGATGCTTTTCTTTTAATCCCACACGTAAGACTTTTCTTCCCTTATTAGTCTATCTCATGCCACTACTTGTCTGACTGTTCTGGTAAGTGACCTATTCCGAGGTCTCTGCCAGCTACTTTGAATCCAAGGTCTGTTCATGTGACACCCTCATATTTTCCTTCCATTCTCTCTCTTTCCAACCAAGCACTTCACCGACCAAACAGATCAAGAATTGGCTGTGAAAAGGATGGATGCGTGTTCTTCTACCACTTTACAGTACAATGCTCCTGTACCCTTCATCCCATGCTATAACACTTTGTGGCTATGTGTGAGGCATTGCTGTGTGCAAAATTGGCTGCCGCATTTACCCCCAAGTCACAGGCACTCAACTCTACAAAATATCCTGGGAAGTGTTTTGAGACATCCTACCAACATGAAAAACACTATAGCAAACATAAGGATTATAATTATTATAATATGTAACAGGATTCCAATATATAGGAAACTTATATCCCTTGTTGCATACACAAGGCTATTACCACCTTATTTCTGTTATACAATAAGGGTTACCCTTAAAACTCATCAATCCTACAATCCAACACATTCAAACTTTTTGTAGCTTGCCCCCCTCTTCCCAGCAGGGAAATGTTGCTTTACCTCATCACCATTAACTGGTGTACCAGCAACTGGTGTACACTGCAGTAATAAATGTAACATACTCAGCTCTATAATTTTGGCACTATTTCAGCATATAAATTATTCCTGTATAAGCAATCGATGTAGCTTAGGACACTCCATTTCTATTTTCAATTCAGTACCAAGGTTAACCTGTTCCTTTATATACAATGCACATTTTATGATTTTCTAAATTAAGTTGTATTTTGCATTTTTAATCAAAACAAAATATAACTGGAATAATCAATGCAGGAAAAAATACAGAAACAATTTCAAGAAAAGTAACAGTTTGAATGATTATTAGTATGGCAAAAGCACATTCAACCTCTACACTAACAATATTCTATCAACTTTTATGAATCCTAAAAAATGCTTACCATCACTTTTAGATGTTTAAACGTATCTTCCTGCAGTTTTGCACATACATTGTAAAAGTCTCCAGGAGTTTAAATTCCATTTAGAGCTTAACTTTTCAAAATACAGCAAAGAACGATGTGCCAAAATGGCATGCAGAAATGTAAGCTGGGTGTCAACCTGGATGTTATGGAGGATGCATTGACAGTTGTTTGAGGGTTTGATCATAATGTTTATAGCTCCTCTTCTCACGGACACAGCCGGCCTCCCAAGCAAAAGACTCCAACTGTGTGCTCAAACAGCAATCAGGGATGGGAGGAACCCTGCAAACAACTACCAATGCATCCTCCACACCACCAGACAGATAGTTACACCTTTTAATCTGTCAGCAGAAGAGGAAAATGCCAGAAAGCAATCAGGCAGTCAATTCACTACAAGTTCTCAGTAAATACAGCATAGCGCACTACATTAAATGACTAAATCCTACCCAAACTAGATGAGGATTCTTTTAACTTCTCACTGCCATCTTTTTTTGCTCCCTTTCCAACTGCTATGTTGAACAAAAGCCTCTTTTAATTACATCAAACACATACGATACAACAAATTACTATCTTGGTTCCTAAGTGGCAGCTCGGTTTTTTGATTTTAAATGGACAAATATATATCCAAATGAAAGTCCAAAATTCCGAAAAGTTGGACTGGTAATAAAATGCTTTACAAAATACTTAAATGTTAACAGATGCCAATAACGTGATTATACAGAAACTCTCAATATGGCACTGAGTTCCACTTATTGCAGTGGGTTTTGTAGTTGACACAAAACTGTATCAGTTTGCCATTCACAAATCGCTGCAATAAATAAATAAAATAAGTTTGATCAGTCAGAAAAAGTTTAAATTCTTGCTATCCAAATAGCTACCCCACAAAGATCAACATAGTTACTACAAATGACTACATTTGTGCGGTACTTTTCTTCATATCGGACCAATCTGCAATTTTTGTAAACAACAGCACATTTTACCAAGTCTACAATAAAGCTATAACGTACTGAATACAATTTTTTCAAATTAGGATAAGACATTAAAGTCAACCTCATATTCAGTCAGAAAAACAAAGTAGTTTTGGTTGCCAAATTCTCCAATAGGAGGTACACACTAAACCAAACACTTTCAATTACATTTCTCTTAAAGACCATGTTTGACCAACTTCACCTTGGAAAGAAAAACAACAATTGGATCTAGTGTTCCTTTCTTCACTATTCAACCATGACTCCTGGTGGGTCAACTAAGACCATGAACTGTACCAATATCTCATAATCTGGGCCAGTTCATTATTCAGATTGAGAAAATAGTGATTGGGGCAAAAACTTAAACCACAAATCAAGTTTTTCAAAATAGGCCAGATCTTTCTTCAGTGTATTAATTCATATTTTACTTTTAAGAAAAATCCCCTTCGTAACCGTCCATTCCAAAATTTATCTCGTCAGCAAGTAAGTAAGACCAGACTGCTAACTACCAATGTGATGAAGTGAAACTCAGGAAAGGAGGCTGGAGACTTTGAATGGCTTTATGGAAAGACTCTGCAATATTGGACACCGTCCTAGAGCACTCAGCAGTGCTTTAATAGAATCCCAAATGTTAAACTCTTTACAAAATAGTTTCACGCAGAACTTCTCAAGTGTTTAGCAGCTTCAACTTACGTTAAGGAAACAGAATTGGATTTTGAATATATTTTAAACATTCTGATTAAAGGCGCATCATAGTATATAATCCTCTCAATAAAGCTTTCTTTTGTTCCTGTTGAAATCTCAAATACCTTATTGTATTAGTCTGATTGTCAGTTTTAGATCCGTGTTTTTATTTGTTCAATATGAACAGATTCATCATGATTGCTACAAGTTTAGGAATACTTGCAGATTGGTTGCTGTAAATGATCAGAAAGGGTAGTTTTTAAAATCAGGTATAAAAACGTTAATTAAAAAAAATAAAGGAATACTGGTACACTGTTATGGAACTTTAGGAGGGAGAACTTGCTATGAAAGCCTGTGTCAGCCTGACTGAATAGTAGAACTCTCACCTCTGAGTCAGAAGGTTATAGTTTCAAGCCCCATGTAAGGACTTGGAATCACATAGTCTAAGCTGATATTCCAATGCAGTGTTGGAGATGTGTTGCATTGTTGGAGGTGCTGTTCTTCGCATGAGGCGTTAAACCAAGGCCCCATCTGCCTGTTCAGGTGGACGTTAAAGATTCCATGGCAATGTTCAAAGAGAGAAGGGACTTTCTCCCGGTGTCTTGATCAACAATGCTCCAAATAAAATTGGTTGTTTGTGGAACATTGCTTTGCCCAAACTGGCTGCTGCATTTCTCTTGCAAAATACACAGTCACTCCTCTTTACAATATATTCTATAAAGCACTGTGAGAGGTCTCGACTACATGCTATATCAAATGCAAGGATTATTATGAAAAGGCCAGTTCTCACTCAAGCACACTCTCTGGACACGAGTCAATCAAGGAACAGGATGATGACATCCAGAGATGTCCACAAATTAGTGCCTGAAACTCAACAACGGCCAATCAGCAAAAATGTCAGTCATTCAATGGATTCCAGACAATCCACAATTTCCCAGTTCATAAATAGCTTTAAATTTAACTGTTAACAAACTTAAATTCAACTGCACAACTTCTTCAGACTAAAGTCGGTTCATTGACATTCTGCCCAGGTTTTTACGACAAATAGAATCCAGGAAGAGGTTGTTAAATTCCTCACCATGCCGTGCAAAAAGGGGTTTTGTTGATTGAACGTATTTTTAACTTTACTGATAAATTTCCAGTCTGTCTTCATTTATGAGTTACTCTTCAATCGCTCTCTGTAACACTGGTTTCACTATGCAACACCAGGTTTGTGTGTAAAGCAAGTCCGCAAACTCTTTCACACTATGTCGCTGGGGAAATCATTTTAGTAATGAATACAGTTAATACTAAGTGAACAACTTGTGTCCAACAACTTTTTTTTAAAAAATAAATAATATGCTCT